TTCTGCGACGCGTTTGCGCCCCCTGCCGCCCTGCGGGCCTCGCCCCAGGCGGCGCTGCGACCGTTCTTGACGAGAAGGGGGGGGGGGGGGGGCGACGGGCCCCTCATCCACGTCGGCCCCGGCAAGTCCGCGGCCCCCGCGCTCGTCTGTCGCGGCCTCATCCTCGAGAAATTCACCGATATGTACTTCGGGCGGCGAAGGATCATCCCCGCTGGAAGGTGACTCGCAGTCGAATGGCTGCAGAGGTCGCCCAATCCACTCGAGTGATAACCGCAGAGAACGAGTGCCAAAGATGGGGGGGGGTGCTCCCATGAATGTAGACGAACCTCGGGACGGGCATGCTCCTCTGACGAGGGCTCTCTCGGGGCGCTTGTCGGCATTTGACTGGATGGCGAAAACCCTTCGACATTCGATATGCAATGCATGCGCTAGTCGGCGCAATTGTCGAACATCGATTGTGCACTCGGTGTTTTCGTCAGTGCAGTACAGTTGGGGCGATATCAGCCCAAAAGATCGGCAGCGCATTGGCCACGCGAAGACACCATTCACAAGAACTCATTCACAAGACAACGCTCAGCGAGAGCACCGCTGCGCTGCTTTAGCTCCGCCCTGCCATCGCATCGCGACGAAGCCGCGGAAGGCACGGGTGCGCGTGCGGCTCTCGGAACCAGCACTATTGTACAGCCGCTGGGTCTGGAGGCACTCGGAGTCGCGAAACTGCAGGATAATGGCGGCCCATGAGTTACTATTCCGGGGCCTCTGCAAGTGCTCACTCCAATCGACCACTCGCTTGCAATGCTTCAATGCTTCAATGCTTCATGCTTCGTCGCGTGCGATTCATGAGATCCCTCCTCGTTTGGACTGCCCCCCCACATGTGCCACCTTCCTCCTCCGCCCATTCGCATTGCCAAGGGTGCTTCAAGGGGGCCCCGGGGTCCTCCGCGATGAGGTTCGAGGGGTGTTGATGACAGACAACTTGCTTGCGGGCTCTGATCTCCGCAAAGTCAACCCTTGCCCAGAACTCACTACGTCCTTCGTTCGCGAGGTCGCCCGGGCGGCGAGCAAGGCGCGCGCGAACTCCGGCGCCGCCCAGTAGTTTAGACGCCGGGCGGAAAATCATCCTGCATGCGTCGGGGCCACGGAGACGCAAGAACTTCGAAACCAGAGGCCGTCTGTCCCACGATAGAGGCGCGCCCCCTCGTCCTGTCCCAAGGGCCCGAACATCAAACGAAGCTCCTGGATATGATTGGAGGGCAATGCAGCCCAACTGCGATGCCAGCCGAGATTCCTGACCAGCATCTCCGGCTCCAAGCTAGCTAGGCGCCAATTGCTGCCTCGCGCGCTTGATCGACCGCGATCGAATGCGATCCCCCACCTTCGTCGCCGCGCCCCCCTGGGGCACCCTCCTCCCATTGCGAGCCGGGAGCGAGTCGAGTTCGCGATGACGTCTAGGCGTGAACAGCCTCTGTTCTAATCCAGTCAGCGCCGCTCTCTGCGCGGAACTGAAAAACAGCGTCCGCCCCCGGCGAGACGGAACCTCCAGGGGCCAAATTTGCCCCGGAGCGTAGCAAGACTCGGCTGCGCACTGAATTCGCCGACGCATCTCAACGGTCGCCGACTGCAGCATCTTAATTTTCGGGCCCAGGTGTCGCACGCCTTCCCGAAGTTGCCCCGACAGAAGTTTCCGGCCCCGACCCTGCGCAGTGGGCCTCGAAGCACGCGCCCCGAAACAATTCCACGACGCAGGGGTCCCCCATCGTGCCGCCCTCCCCCTTCTTGATATGCATCCCTCCTTCCACCGTTCCAACCAGATAGCGCTGTCTCGAATGCGCTGTATACATATATCAACATCTTGGGGTTCGGCGCGAAGTTCACCTGCGCGTTCCAGATCGGACCGGGGCCCGCTCGCGAAAGCATTCGTCATGTCCTTATAGGTGCGCGCAAACGAGCGCCCAGCCATTCGCAACCTCCAGCGCAAGAGTTGCGCCGTCAAAGTAGCATCCTCTCTGCGCCTGCCTGGGCAGAAGCCGCGCTCGATCGCCGCGGGAGGAACTCGATGGAGGCCCAAGTAGAACGCTTTTCCCGCGGTCGGCCAGACGCGCGCCGCGCGGCGGCCCATTGGGCCCGGCCCGGCGTTCCCCCGAAGATGGGCCCCCGAAGCCACGTGCCATCATATTGGCGCGCGAATCGTTGCGCGGACGTCGCGAACCCCCCCTCCCGCATCTTCCCAAACGGCTTCATCTCAAGAACCTCGCGCCGGGAACCTACGCCCATGCCCCGGCTATCGATGCGCGCGGCGGGGTCGAGGCGCGTCGACCAAATCCCCGCGGGCTGGGCCCCTGACGGCGCGGCTCTCCTCTCACTCGCCGACCGAAAATACTTAGTCACTCTCCACTGATCCTTCGGGGTCAATTCGCGGCCCCCTGGAGAGACGCAGGGGGCCACCTGCAGGAGCGGCCGCCATCCACGAAGTCGATCTTGCACGTTGACATTCCCCCCTCAACTCTTCTGGCCCCAGTGCATCGGCGGCCCCCGCTCCGAGAAGCGGCCGCCCCGATGCAATCTTCCGTCGCGGCGTTTAAGTCCGTGCCTGCGCCGGGCTGCAATCCCGCGTCGCCCCCGCCATGCGTCGGGCCTGCCGCGCCCCCTCGATCTCGCCCAGTTGGGCGGCCCGCTGCTCTCGTTGAAACTGCTGTCGCTGTTGTCGCAGTCGCTGGCTGAGTTCCTTATGCTTCTCCTCGCAGTCGCGAAGCGCCGTGGAAGTCTCACTCGTGCTGATTCGGGAACGTCGAAGTCGCGCTCGCTCTCGTAGAAGTACGGGACGCTCTGTTACCTCCTGTCTCTACGCTGGATCGTTGGGCACCTGGTGGTCGACTAGCTGTTGACCCGCACGGACAAGCGTATCATCTAAATGTTTGAACAACTCATCTGGCTGTCCGTGATTCAATAACGCCCTACAAGTGTCCTCACTCTCCGAAAGACGTGCCTCCACTGTCTCTAAGAACTCAACTCTCCGTTCATCTCAAGCATCTCATCATGTCGTCATGATTCCATCGCGTCCTCTGTGGCGACGCAGACTCGTGATCGCCCGCGAACTGCATGCCATGTAACTCCGTGTAAATAAGAATATGATCCTTCGGCGGGCCCCCTCGGGAAAATTGTAATTCTGGCCCTAGTCCGTGAAGTGTAGAAAACAATTGTATCATATCAATCATGCCATCTTGGAGAAAGAATAAGATCAATAAAGCCAGCTGCTATGTCCAGTATTACCAAAGAAAGTGTGCTCCAAGTTGTGGCACCCAGAGCTAACTGAGCTAACTGAGAACATGCGCTGTCGCTCGTTCACCTGTATGAGGTCGTTGCTCACGTGCTCTGCCTGGTCCAAAAAACGTCGGCTCTACTGAATCCCGCCGCCCTGCCACTCAGCACAATCCCTGTCCATCGTTGAGATCCACGTGCACCAGTGGTGTGCAGCGGCTAGACAATCTGTGCAAAATGCGGTCGTACCATGTCGCCACAGTATGCACCGTCTCCTTGTCGTGAGGGACCAAACGAACATGCCGAGGCTGAGGCGGTATAAACATCACGATCGGAGCAAGGTCAGCTGGCCCTTTTTTGGTGCGGGCGGCCAGCGCTCTTCCCTCTTCATTGAACTGACCTCCAATAGCTATCGCGCAGCCCGTCGACTCGTTAGTATATTCTCCGTACCCTGCCTCCGCATCCAGAGCAATCTGGTTCCCAATCCTGAGAGACAAAGCCTCCTCCGATCGCCTCGAAGAAGCCTGCGTCCCTGCGAGCAACACGGAGGAGAAGGAGGAAGAGGAGGCGGAGTTTCTCGAGACGTTGGGGGGCTGGGCCCCCGAAGACCTGGGGAGGACGAGGGAGAAGGAGGAGGAGGACGAGGAGCAGGAGGAAGAGGAGGAGGAGATGCAGGAGGAGGAGGAGGAGGAGGAGGAGGAGGAGGAGTTTTGAAACGTTGGAGGCCTGGGCACCTGGATTGCCTGGGGGAGGACGAGGGAGAAGGAGGAGGAGGAGGAGGAGGAAGGAGGACGAAGGGGAGGAGGAGGAGGAGGAGGAGGAGGAGGAAGAGGAGGAGGAGGAGACGAAGGGAGAGGAGGAGGAAAAGGAGGAGAGTTTCTTGACACGCCCTGGAAAGCCTGGGGGGAGACGATGGAAGAGGATGACGAGGAGGAGGAGGAGGAGGAGGAAGAGGAGGAGGAGGAGGAGGAGGAAGAGGAGGAAGAGAAGAGGAGGATGTGGATGAGGAGGAGGAGGAGGAGAAGGAGGAAGAAAAGTCACTCCTGAAGCTCCCCTGCGCCTCACTGGGGAGAGCCCGGGCTCGGGCTGCCCGAGGCTGGAAGACCGCCGGGCATCGCCCCAGACGCCGGAAGCCCTCGACCCCCCCCCCGCACGCTCGAATTGGAGAGGTCGGCTGCAGAAGGAGGAGGAGGAGGAGGACGAAGTCGAGGAGGAGGAGGAGGGGGAGGACGAGGATGACGACGATGACGAGGAGGACGAGGAGGAGGAGGAGGAGGAGGACGACGAGGAGGACGACGAGGAGGAGGAGGAGGAGGAGGACGAAGTCGAGGAGGAGGAGGAGGAGGACGAGGACGACGAGGACGACGAGGAGGAGGTCGAACCTCGCGACCGCTGCGGCATTGGCCGCCGCCGCTCTCCGCGGGCGGGCGGGGCCCTCCGGCCCCAGGCATGCGACGTTCGAATTGGAGAGGTCGACCCCCCTCCTCCTGCTCCTCCTCCTCCTCCTCCTCCTCCTCCTCCTCCTCCTCCTCCTCGAGATGCGAATCGGAGGGCCCTCCGGCCCCACGATTCCCTCGTCGACCCTGCGAAGCATGCGTCGGACAGGTGCAGCTGCGCGGGGATTCGCTACGACTGCTCGCCACGTCGACGGGCACGTCAGGCACGCAGCCGATCGATGTCCTACCCGAATCGTGGGGCACCGCTGGCGGCGCCCCGCCCGCGGGAGGGGCGCCGTCCCTCTCCTGGGCGAGCTGGGCGGCGGACTGGGTGTCCTGCCGCCGCCGCCGCCGCGGGTCCCGCCAGCGGGAATCTCCGGGGTGCTCCCTGAGACTCGGCAAAGCGAAGGGGGCAGGAATAAGAGGAGGAGGAGGGGAAAGAGGAGAAATAGGAGGAGGAGGAGGAGGAGGAGGAGGAGAAGGAAGGGAGGACAACGAGTAGGAGGGGAGGAGGAAGAGGACGGGGAGGGGGAGGAGGAGGAGGAGGAGGAGGAGGAGGAGGAGGAGGCGGAGGAGGAGACGGAAGAGGAAAAGGAGGACGCGGAGGAAGAAGAAGAAAAGGAGGACGCGGAGGGGGAGGAGGAGGAGGACCAGCATAAACCCAAGAGTCATCAACGATGTTGGAATAAGCCCTCCCTCCAAGCTCTCTCTTCACAGGCCCCTACAACTGTTCATTTCCACTGAGGGAGCTGCCTCGTTGGAAGACAGCTGTCTGAAGACCCTGGAGCACGCCAAAACCTTGTTTTCGGATTTCCAACGCCACGGATCAACCTGGCTGTCGCGTCTGCACGGTCCTGAATCGTGCCAGAACGCCTGTCCTGGAACTCCAACACCGCGAATAAAGGAACTTCTGCACCCTCATAATCCTGAATCCTGCCCGAACGCCATTTCTGGTACGTCGATCATGGGAAACCGTGAAACCTTCGCAAACATTTTAAGCGAATGTGCGCGGCGCTGAGGCGAGAACAACGTTTTGAAAACCATCCGCCCTCAATGCGTGAAAATCTTACATTTGTTGTAAACGAGTGTGCGCGGCGCTCAGGCGAGAACCACATGTTGAAAACCATCCGCCTTCAATTCGTGAAGCCCTTGTGATTTGAAAAAATGCGCGGGACGATAAGGCGAGAACCACATTTTGAAAACAATCCGCCCTCAATCCTTGAAGCTTTCGCACATGGTTAGAGCGAATGTGCGCGGCGCTAAGGCGAGAGCCACATGTTGAAAACTACCCACCCTCAGCATGTGAAACTGTTGTCAATGTTTAAACTTCAAAAAACTTCAAAATCACAACTGGTGAGGACGTCTCAGGCGGAACGCCCGGCCCGCTCTAAAAACTGGCGTCGGGGTGCGACAGGGAGAACATATGTATAAGGAAAACGAATGGGGGGGACCAGGATGGGGGATGAGGGGGAGGGGGGGGAGGGAGGAGGGGGAGGAGGAGGAAGGAGGAAGAAGGACTGAAGAAGAGTGAGGGAGGGAAGGGGAAGGAACAGGGCGCAGGAGGAATGAGGAAAGCCTGCGGGGGTGTACCTGGAGGTTCTGAAGGACCGGGAGCGATGTCTCTGAGTGCGTCCTGCAGATGCTAAGGTGCTGTCCCGACGTTTTGAATAGGGAAGGGGGAGAAGGAGGAGGAGGACGAGGAGGAGGAGGAGGAGGAGGAGGTAAGAGGAGGAGGAGGAGGAGGAGGAGGAGGAGGAGGAGGAGGAGGAGGAGGGGAAAGGAAAAGTAGAGAGGGCAACGCCTGCGGGGTCTTACTGTCATCAATCCACAATGCACAGGAAGAGGCGGATGAGGATGAGGATAAGGTGGAGGTGGACGAGGAGGAGGATGAGGAAAACGGTGTTGCTGATGCGCCCTGATCCAAAGGCCCTGCTATCCTGGTTCGCACAGCGGCCAACGCCGAAGCACATAACGCCAAAACGTTACCCAGCCGACACGGCGAACCCAGCATGGCGACGAGAGGCCCCAATGCCGAGCCGCCCGATGGCGGCAAGAATTCCACCACCCGTCTGGGCGTACGTGGTCAAAGGTGGCTGCTCTTCCACCCCCCCTCTTCCCCTTCGGGGAAGGGTCTACCCCTCCCCCCATACTCCCCCCCCCAGTATATGGAGCGGATCGCGGGCAGTCGGAACGTCCAAGATGGCCCAATATGGCCCAAGATACCTCAAGATCGCTCCCAACGTGCTCCAAGAAGCCCCAAGACCGCTCCAAAACGGCTCCGAATGGTCATGGAACGCCCCCAGGAGGCCGCCAAGATTCCCAAATCCTTCAAAAACCCCAGGGGAATCAATGCATTGTGCCTTCTCGCCTTGTTGTTGTCCTTGGCCTTCCGAGGCCTCAATATGGCTCCAAGAAGGCCTGGGACGGCCCCCAAAAGGGCCCAATAGACCCCAACACGGCCCCCAAAGCGCCCAGATGCGCGCCAAGAACGCCCCAAGAGGGGCCCAAGAGGTGTTTGGGGGGCCCGAGGGGGGAAGCCGATTCGAGCTCCCACTTTTTGTTGATCGATCTCCTCCCAAATGGCCCGGAAAGCGCCCCCAAGGCACCCAAGAGCGCCTCAATTTTGCCCCAAGAAACGCCCAGGAGGCCCCAAGAGGCGCCTAAGAGGCCTCCAAGAGGCCCCCAAGCGATCCCCAAGACGCCTCGGGAGGATCCCCGAGGCAAGAGGCCCTCTGAGCCCTCGCCTGGGCATCGGTTCTGGATGGGCTGGTGGAGTTACTTTTTCAGTCGCAGCTGCAGGCCGACCAGCCGACAGCGGCGTCAGTAGAGTAAGCACGGGCCGCGAGCACCCTAATTGCCGGCGCGCGCGCCGAGCAAACGAGAGGGAAGCTGCGCCGGGGCTGAGCTGCGCCGAGGGGTGGGAGCTGCCAGCTGCGGGGGCGGCTGGAAAGTTGCAGCGTGCGAGCGCCATGGGAGCTGAACCACCAGGCACGAGAAGTAATCCTTGTCGCCGCCGGGCGCCAAGAGGTCAGGAGGCAGACCGCAAGGTGACGCGCCGGGCTGAACAAAAAGGCGGACCCACTCCTGCAAGACACGGCGGCGAGCACCCCAAGGGGGCCAGCTGACGACCAGAGCCAGGGAGTGGGGGGCCATATGCGAACCCTACCCCTACCCCCCACGATTTTTGAGGGGAGGGTGGGGTTCACTTCGCTCGGGAGCTCTCGAACAAAGTGAACCCCACCCTCCCCCTCAAAAATCGGGGGGCAGGGGTAGGGTTCGCATGTGGGCCCCCTAAGGGAGGTGCAAGCACTGCGGGAACTGGTCAGAACGCGCGAGACCTGAACGCCAAGGCACGCTCGGAACCACGACGCGGAGAGAGTATGCGGCCAGGTGACGCGCCTCCACCGCACCGAGGAGGACGGAGCCCAGCGCCACTGGCGGAGTACGAGCCAGACGCGGCCAAGCCGGGCGGTGTCTGGGGACCAGGGCCCGGTGGGGTGCAAGCACATGCGCCGGAGCTGGTCAAGGCGTGAGTCAATGACGTCACCAAAGGGCCAGTGCCAGGGAAACCACGCCAGGCCGTGGCGGGGTCTGGGCAAAGACCAGAGTGAGAACAGCACTGAGACGGCCAAGGCCGTCAGGCACGTCGCGCCCCGCCCTAGCGGAGACAGCGCGCCCGGTATTGACGGCGACTGGGGCAGTTCCCCAAGGGCGGGGAAGCCAAACCAATGGCCGAGCAGGGGTCGAAGCGGCCCAGCGGTGCCGGTGCCGAGGGACCGCGTCAGGCCATGACCAGGCCCAGGCTGAGGCCAGTTTGTGGAATTACTTTTTTTTATTCGCGGCCCGCAAGGAAAAGTCCACAGGGCGGTGTGAACGAGGCTGGGACACAGCGCGCGGGAAGGCAGATAATTAACGGCGCAGCACAGGTGCCGGCCAAGAAGAAGCAGCTGAGCATGTGCCAACATTGGTGGAGTTACGCGAAGCGTCGAGAAGTTCTAGCGAGCGCTGACCGCAGCGAAAGGAACCAGAAGCCCGCACGTGGCGGTAGCGCCGCGGCAGCGCCTGCTCGCATCAGGCAAACCCAGCAGCTCCAGCACTCTGGTCGCCCTCAGCGCTTGACGGAAGAAACGCAAAAGAACCGCTTGTCGCTGCCATCTTCACGCGCGGTGCGCCGAACATCCGTGCCCCCGCGCGGCATGTGCCGAGCGACCTCTAGTAAACAGTCTTCGCTGCGACGGCCCCCCGCGCCCCCCCCAGCGGAATAGCGAACTCTCCGAGCAGCATCGGCACGACCTTGCCAGTCGTCCTCGACACGGTTGCCAGAAGCTTGCGAGAGTGCCTGAGGGCGTGCAGATGACGACCAGCTTCACCTCGCAGTGTCCTAGCGTGCCCTTGGGCGGCGCGAGCGACCTTCTGCGTCGCGGCCGTACCCTTGCTCGCGAAGGCGCGAAAAGGCGTTGCTGATGACTGATGACGCCCTCCTGCACCTCGCAGCCCACCCTGGCTCCCGCACGCTGCGCCCTCGCCGAAGTGCGCGCGCAGACGGCCCTCCTTGGGCCCAGAGCAACTCGGAGGAGGAGGAGGAGGAGGAGGAGGAGGAGGAGGAAGCACGCAACAGGCCCAGTCTCATGTCCGCTCAACGTCAAAAAGGAGGAAGAGGAGGAGGACCACTGCAAACCCAGGATTCATTACCGATGGTGCAGTGGACCCCCCTCTAAGTTCCCTCTTCATGAGCCCCATACAAAAACGTGGTTTGTCACTGGGGGAGGTGCCCCGTTGGAAACCAACCGCTTGAAAATAATGAGCCGTGCCAAAACATCATTGTTGAGAACTCAACGCCGCGAACGAACGGTACAGTTGCGCCCTGACGACCGACTCGTGCAAGAACATCATTCCTGGGGCTCCAACACCGCGAATCAACGTAACTGCTGCGGCCTGAGAGTCCGACATAAATGCCCGAACGCCAATTCTGAGAAGTTAACCATGGGAGCCAATGGAACGGCTGCAATTGTATAGGGGGCATTGCGCGCGGCACTGAGGCGAGAACCGCATGTTGGAAAAAAAAAAAAAAAAAAAAAAAAAAAAAAAAAAAAAAACGCACAGCATCCGTGAAGTACTTGCTAACCTGTAAACAAATGCGCGCACCGCTGAGGCGAACACCGCATGTTGAAGAGAAGCCGCCCTCCATCCGGGAAGCTCTTAACTCGTGGAAGCGTGGACGACGCATGTGCGAAGCGCTGAGGCAAGAACCACATTTTGAAAAAGGCACATTTGAAGGGGCCCCGGGACACACACACACACACACACACACACCTATATATATATATATATATATATATATACATATATATGTAAACATACAAGACTGCACTGGCGCTGCGCGCCATGCACCTTGGTCCTTGAGTTTCGCAAGCTAGCGGAGTGCGTGCGTGCGTACATGCGCGCGCATCTGCGCCCATACGTACACGTTGCATTTGTGAATATGAATGTACGCGTGCAAGGGTATGTACACGTATACGCAAATCGTTTGCGCAGCCCTGGGCGCGCATGCACATGCGCATCTCGGATGGTCTGCAAGACTGTCTCAGGCGAAGAAAGCGGGAACACTATGGAGCAATGCACTTCCGCAGTCGGAGTTGCGAGGAAATCGAAGGCGAAGCGGGTTCGACTACTGCTTCTTCCTCATCCTTTTCCCCGTGCTTCGTTTGCTAGCTGGGTGGTAATCGTTACTTCTCCTCTGCGCTCCTTTATCTGCTCCTCGTTCTATTTGTCCTCGTATTCTTCTGTGCCCGTTTCCTTTCCCCCCTTCCTCATGCTTCTCCTCCTCTTTTTCCTCCTCAGTCCTGTGCCGATTGAGCTGAACCGGAAGAGCTGAAGAGGATGAGGAGAAGGAGGAGGAGGAGGAGGAGGAGGAGGAGGAGGAGGAGGATGAAGACGAGGAAGAGGATGGGGACGACGACAACGACGACGACGAAGAAGGCGACGACAAAGAGAAGGGATAATGAGAGGGGGAGACCGCTGTGTTGGGATCTCGTGGTACGCCTCTCGGGGGCCTCTGGGAGGCAGTTTTGAAGCCTCTTGGGGGCTGTTTGTGGGCCTCTTGGGATCTTTTTGGGGCCTCTTGGGGGCCTCTTGGGGGCTCCTTGGGGCCTCTGGGGAGCCTCTTGGGGCCTCATGGGGCCCTGGGGCCTCTGGGGCCCGCTCGCGGCGGAAAACTTAAGTTTTGAATTTTTGGGCGCCCTCTTGGGCCTCTCTTGGGGCCGTCTTGGTGCTCTCTTGGGCCGCCTTGGGCGCCTCTTGGGCGGTCTTGGAGCCCTCCTGGACCGTGTTGGGGCCTTCTTGGGGGCCTCTTGGGCAGTACTGGGGCGATCTAGGGAGCCTCTTGGGCCGTGTTGGAGCGTGGGGAAGCGGAAAAAGCGAGAAGGCCAAAAACATCGAATAACACACTGGAAAGTCAACCATTTTAGCCTCTCGGGGCTCTCTTGGGAGGCCTCTTGGGGTTCTCTTGGGGCGTCTTGGAGGCCTCTTGGGCAGTCTTGGGCCCATATTGGGCGTCTTGGGCCGATCTTTGGGTGTCTCGGGGCCCTCTTTGGCCGTCGTGGGGGCTTTTTTTTTCGCGTCGGACTCGCAGAACAGACCTGCCTGGGGGGTCCAGGAGGACCGGAGATCCACGGAAGCACTCTGCAGGAGCGCCCCAGAGGCTCGGGGAGGCCTAAATTCGTTTGGGGGGGGGGGGGCACCGTGTGCCGCTTTTCCGGGGTCCCCGGCCTTGTAAAAATATATAAATAGGAATATACACACAAATGAAAGGATTCCCCCTATTTCCCCATCTGTTCTGGATGTTTGTCTTCTCCCACACTTCCCATAGTTTCCCATCTTTTGCGGGGAATCGACGATGAATTGTGCCTGTGTGTTTCTTTCCCTCCTGAACATTTCGGGGTGCGGCAGGGAGGAATTATCCATAAAGACAATGAGCGCAAGAAGACTGGGAGGGGGAGGGCGAGACCCGCCATCGCTCGGACGCCCATCCCCCGTGCACGTTTCGGTGTCGCGCGTGCATGTTTCGCAAGATGATCCACGATGTTCCTCGATGGCCCCCGCTCCCAACAAATGCACACGTCCGAGCGATGCCAAGGGGAGGGAAACAAAGGGAAGACCAGCAGGAGGGACCAGGCATGGGACACCGAACAGAGCCTCACGCCGACGCGCCCTCCTCGACCTCCTCCTGCCCTCAACCGCCCCCTGGACCTCTTCGTTCTCCTCCTGCCTCTCCCCCCCCACCAATGTTCAGGTATCCCCCGCGTCGTGGTCCTCGTGTTCCTCCTCGACCTCCTCCTGGCCCTCCTCCTCCTGATCCTTTTCTTCCTTGTCCTCCTCCTCCTCCTCCTCCTCCTCCTCCTCCTCCTCCCTCTCCTCCTCCTCCTCCTCCTCCTCCTCCTCCTCCTCCTCCTCCTGGACGTTGGATCGTGGCTCGGCTCTCCGGTAGCACCTCGGGACGCCGCGGGCGCCCCCGGAACGCCCTCGGGGCGCAGCTGCCGAAGGCGTCCGAAGCCAGAGAACCCCTGGGAACCGACGACTGCCTATCACGCGTCCACTGGCCCCCTGCGACGACGACAAGGTTGGAGGCCCACGAGGAGGAGGAGGAAGAGGAGGAGAAGGAGGAGGAGGAGGAGGAGGAGGAGGGAGGGAGGGAGGGAGGGAGGGAGGGCCATCGCTCAACCGTCCATTCCCCGTGCATTGTTCGATGTCGTGTGTGCATTTTTCGCCAAATGATCAAACATGCTCCTCAATGGTCCACGCCGAGAAAAATGCACACGTCCGAGCGACGCCAAGACGGAGGCGGCCCAAAAACCTCAAACGTCGGCAACCACCCCGCTTTGATGGGCGAGGTCCTTGAGCAAGTGGCTCCTCTCCCTCAGCAGCTCCTCGGACTTGCGCTGCATCTGTATCAGTTGCTGCGCCACCAGGGCCTGCGGGGCGGGTATTCGCCAGCAGGGGCAGCAACATGAGGAAGAAAACGAGATAGAGAAGGAGAGGGGGGAGGGAAGGAAGGAGGGAAGGAAGGAGGATAGAACGGGAAAGGTGGGGGAGAAGGAGGATGGGAGGAAAAGAGAGGACGGAGGAGGAATAAACAAAAGTGTGAGGAGGATGAGGAGGGACATGGACACTTTGCCCTTTTTCTGGGGGTCTCCTCCTCTCGTCGTGCCTTTTTTGCCGCGCCTACTCTTACGGATCCCCTAACTTGATGTGCCCGTCCCGTGGGCGACCGCGACGTCCACGGGGGGGAGGAGATGACAACGTCGACCCACGACCTTGATGCCACCCGCCCCGATCAGGAGAAAGGGAGGAGGGCGAACCCAGACCCCCGACGTCGTGATTTTTTCACGACGTCGACCCCCAGAGGTCTGGACCCCTTCCCCGGGACCGGTTCTTCGTCCCGAATCGTTTTTTGACGCTCCCGAGGCCCGGTACGGGCCCCCGGAGGCCGAAAATCGCGAACAACCTCCCGTCGTGATTTTTTCACGACGCGAGGAGGTCTGGGAAGGAGGTGGGCGGGAAGGCCGGCGGGAAGGAGGAGGGGAGGAGGAAGGGCAGAAGTGAAGGGGAGACGTGGGGGACGGAGCACCGGCGGTCCTCAGAGCGCGCGCGCTGGCGCCAACGTGCGCCTGTGCATCCAAGCGACTCAGCCCGGCGCAAGCGATGTTCAACAAAGGCCGACACTGGGGGGCAAACAAGCCCGAAAAAGTCGCCGCGATCTTTCTACCCATAGGCCAGAGAAACAGAACGTCCAAACAAGCGCGCGAAACGGCTAGAAAACGTAACTTCAAAACAAACGCGCAAAGCGTAGGAAGCGGAGGAGGGCGCAAATAGGGGGCAAACAAACCGACCTCGCTTTTGACCACCCTCGCTTCCAAGATATCCCAAACGATGCCAAACCGCGGCCTGTGCTGGCCCGGCCGCTTGACGAGGGGGCGCGTGGTGTGGCTCGGTTTTGCCTGGAAGCGAAAGCGGGGTAGGGAATTCACGCTCTGAGACACAGGTTGCGAGCCCTCGGCGGAGGTGAGCGGAGTCAGCGCACGCTGGGCCAACACTTTTACGCTGCAGCGCGGCGGGGGCGGTCCGCACGCGCCCTCGGACACCCCGGGCGGCGGCATTGCGACGTGCCCAGACGCAAGGAGGGGAAGGCGGGGGAGGGGAGGAGCGACAGCGGGCGGAGGGGAGGGAACTGAAACGCTGACGCCGCGGGAGGAGGAGGAGGAGGAGAAGGAGGAGGAGGAGGAGGAGGACGAGGAGGAGGAGGAGGAGGAGGAGGAGGAACGCAGGCGTCACCAGCGGGGACTGCAGCGGGCGCCCGGGGCGGCCAAGCCGGCGCTGCCCCCATCCCTGGGCAGCGGGCACGGGGCCCCCCCCCCCCCCCCCCCCGGCGCCGCGACCACACCCAGGGGCCGGGGCGGCCGCTGCAGTGCAGGAGGTCGACGACCAGCAAACACATGAGGCCAACGCGCGTCCTCCTCCTCCCTCCTCTCCTCTCCCTCCTCCTCCTCCTCTTCCTCCGCCTCCTCCTCCTCCTCCTCCTCCTCCTCCTCGCCTCCTCCTCCTCCTCCTCCTCCTCTCCTCCTCCTCCTCCTCCTCATCCTCCTCCTCCTCCTTCTCCTCCCCCCTGCACTCCTTCCCCCTCCTCCCCTAAGCCTCCTCCTCCTCATCCTTCCTCTCATCCTCCTCCTCCTCCTCTCCTCCTCATCCTCCTCCTCTCTCCTCTTCCTCCTCCTCCTCCTCCTCCCTCCTCCTCCTACCTCCCCTCCTCCTCCTCTCCTCCTCCTCCCCTCCTCCTCTCCTCCTCCTCCTCCCCCCTCCTCCTCCCTCCCCCTTCCTCCTCCTCCTCTCCTCCTCCTCCTCTCCTCCATCCCCCCTCCCTCATCCTCCTCCTCATCCTCCTCCTCCTCCCTGCTCCTGATCCTGCTCCTGCTCCTGACTCTGCTGCTCCTCCTCCTCCTCCTCCCCTCCTCCTCTTCCTCCTCCTCTTCCTCCTCCTCCTCCTCCTCTCTTCTCCTCCTCCCATCTCCTCCTCCTCCTCGCCTCTCCTCCTCCTCCTCCTCTCCTCTCCGCCCCTCCTCCTCATCCTCCTCCTCATCCTCCTCCTCCTCCTCCTCCTCCTCCGCTGGGGGGAGGGCGAGGCCAAGCAGAACTCGCGAAGCGTCGCGCAAGTCGCCGCGATCATCGGCCCACAGGTCATCTCAGAGAACCAAGACATCATGACAAGCGCTCGAAGAGAGGGGGAGGGTACGAAGCTGAGGCGGGCCAGGCAGAGCTCACGAAGCCTCCCGAAAAAGTCGCCGCGATCTTTCTACCCATAGGCCAGAGAAACAGAACGTCCAAACAAGCGCGCGAAACGGCTAGAAAACGTAACTTCAAGACAAACGCGCAAAGCGTAGGAAGCGGAGGAGGGCGCGAAGGCAGGAGGAGGAGGAGGAGGATGCTGAGGGATGGAACGGGCCGCCCCAACAGGGAGTGCACAGCACCAGCTCGAGCGAACTGGCCCTCGCCGGTGCCCCCTCGCCCTGGCCGCGGCCTGCGAGGCCCACGCGCGGACCGGTGTGGGGACAGCGGCGCTTCCCCGCCGCGTCGCTGGCGCGACCCCGCGCGAGAGCCTCGAGCTCGACGTGCCGCTGCCCTCCGCGCCGCCACAGCATGCGCACCACTGCGCCCAGACCTCCTCGCGTCGTGAAAAAATCACGACGGGAGGTTTTTCGCGATTTTCGGCCTCCGGGGGCCCGTACCGGGCCTCGGGAGCGTCAAAAAACGACTCAGGACGAAGAACCGGTCCCGGGGAGGGGGTCCAGACCGCGGGGGGTCGACGTTGTGAAAAATTCACAACGTCGGGGGTCTGGGCGTGCAGCGCGTGACGTGTGCCCATCTCGGCGGCCTCGTCGTCGGTCCCCGGAGGTCTCCCGAAGGCCCCCCGCGGCCACGCAAGGGGCATGCTGGAACTGCGCCCTAGAGCTTCTCGATCCCGACCCTGGATCGGCGACCCTACTGGGGGACGGATGGGGGTGGGCACTGGGGGGAAACACACAATCTCCGAGAAGACAGCGCAGGGCAACAAAAAAGCCTTCGTGGAAAATAACGCTACCCACGCCGAAAAATCCAAAGGGGCTTAGATCAGGCTCGCCTGATGCGCGATGAAATCCCTTTGACCGCCACTACGGGGCCGTCGGCGGCATTTGCCTGTCAGTCGAAGCTTTTTTCTGATGGCATGACATGCGCTCCACTGTGACGAAATCTGCCCATGGAATTGGCGAATTGAACCCGAACTTCGCACTAATCTGCTTCTCGGCGGCGCCTTTTAACGTACGGCCCACGATGGCGGCACTGGGCTCGGTCCCCGACCCCTGTCCGCGGACTGAGGCAGCATGCCCTTCGCCTGCGCTGCTTGCGTGGACCAATAGCAACGACAGGGCTCCCACAAGGAGGTGCGCCCACCCAGGGAGGTAGCGATCGTGGCCGTTGGGGGAGCGCCCAAACAGGGGCATGCGCACAGACGTCCCCCGCGGCGGGGTGCTCCACACCACCACATGGGCAACCCGATCGATGCCGGAGGTGCCCAAAGCCTCACGGTCGCCGGACCTCTCTGGGTTCGACCCCCCCCGGCCCGGACCCCCCGGTCCTGGACCTCCCGGTCGGAGACCACCCCTGGTCCTGGACCTCCCCCGGTCCGGACCCCCGGGTCCGGAGCCCCCGGTCCGGACCCCACCAGGTCCACTGTCCACGCCCCCGTCGCGACCGGCCCCGTCCCCAGACCCCCGACGTCGTGATTTTTTCACGACGTCGACCCCCTGCAGAGGTCTGGACCCTTTCCCCGGGACCGGTTCTTCGTCCCGAGTCGTTTTTTGACGCTCCCGAGGCCCGGGGAGGGCCCCCGGAGGCCGAAAATATCGAAAAACCTCCCGTCGTGATTTTTTCACGACGCGAGGAGGTCTGGGTCCATGCAGTGGCGACCCCGCCCCCGCTCCAGTGGCGACCCCCCCCCCGTCGCGGCTCACCTCCGGCGGGCTCGTCGCGGCACCCCAAGCCACCTTTGGGACCCCCGCCCGGCGTCGTCGGCGGCGGCCCTCTCGGGAGAGCGGGGCGCAGGGGCAACCATGTCGAGGCGGATCCAGACGTGGCCAAACGTGGATCCTCTTCCTCTTCTTTTTCCTCTTCTTCTTCCTCCTCCTCCTCCTCCTCCTCCTCCTTCTCCTCATCCTTTTTGTTCAAACTTCCTCCTCTTCCTCTTCCTCTTCCTCTTCTTCTTCTTCCTCTCCTCCTCAAACTTCCATGTGGATCCTCTCCCTCCTCCTCCTCCTCCTCCTCCTCCTCCTCCTCCTCTTTTTGGCTCAGACTGGGCCGTCGCCTGCGCAGACGGGGCGCCCCGCGTCGCGCGAACCGCACCGAACCGGAACGGTCGGGCCGAATCGAACCAAGCCGTCAATCGAAACGAACCGAACCGGTGGGACTGAACTAGGGGGCCACCCAGACCCCCTCGAGTAATGAAAAAATCATGACGGCAGGTTTTTCGCCATTTTCGGCCTCCGGGGGCCCTCGCCGGGCCTCGGGAGCGTCAAAAAACGACTCGGGACGACAAGCCGGTCCCGGGGAAAGGGTCCAGACCTCTGGGGGTCGACGTTGTGAAAAAATCACAACGTCGGGGGTCTGGGTCTGAGGGAGAGGCTGGGGTTCACTTCGTTCGGGAGCTCCCGAGCGAAGTGAACCCCAGCCTCCCGCTCAGAAGTCGTGGGGGATAGGGGTAGGGTTCGCATGCGGCCCCTTATGAACCGAGGGTGGGGCCGAACCGAACCGGTGGGACCGAACCGAACAAAACCGAACCGGAGCCAGACCCAAACCGAACCGGCTGAAACCGAACCAGTGGTAAAACCGAACCGGCCAAGCAAAACCGAACTGGCTGCAGAACCGGACCAACCGATCCCTTCGTGATCATGGGAACATAGGGGGACATAGTGGAAACATAGGAGAACACAGTGGGAGCATGGGGGACCACAAGGGAGCACAGTGGGAACATAGGGAAACATAGCTGCCCCAAAGCATTGAAGAACCACTGGTCCTAAGGATCTAGGTGAACATAAGGAACATAATCATAGTCGGGACATAGGGGGGCATAGTCGAAACATGAGGGACCATCGCTGCCCCAGGTGGTTTTTGCCCCCCTCCCCCCCCCCCCCCCTCTTCCCCCCTCGATCAGCTGTCCCAGGGGGTGGCTCCGGGCACTCAACGCCTCGGTCGGCTGCCCGGGGGGGCGTTCTAGGCGCCCCCCGCTCCGATCAGCTGCCCCCGCGGGGGGGATTTCCTGCAGGAGGCTTTCGCGAACATGCCACCTCGGGGCGCCCGCCAGGGCTGGGGGGCCAAGACAACCTTCGGGCCCCATCCACCGCCACGACCGCATCACGCAGCTGCCCCAACAGCTCGTCTGGACATCGCTTCTGCAAAAAATGGTGAGACACCTACAGTCGGCATTGATTGGACAGGACACGCGAGAGGACACAAGACTCTAGACCCTTCCGAGGGCCACATCGCCATGGGGATGTAGGAGGCACGCGTCGCGAGGCACAGGACACAAGGGTACCTCTGAGCTGGCAGGGTCGACCTACTAATCCGGGCCGACTGTACAGTCGGGGCGTTGACCTAAGGAACCCTAAATAAGGAACGAGGCCCCTTTTTTCCTAAGTTAAACTTCGATTTCCGATCGAAAACATAAAAGGGAAACCTGAGGCAAGCTGTGAAACGCTTAAGGAACGCCGAGCCCCTCCCCAACGAAAAGAGTTCCTTCTTCAGGGCCCCGACGGTACACCCCTCCTGGCCAAGCTCACCCCCGGCCCAGCATCGGTGCACACGCTCTCGTGGCTTCTGGCCCAGGAAGGCCCGGGCCCAGGATCGGCGCCAGGGCGTCGCCCTGCCGCCCTCCGAACTAGGAGTGTCATGCGTGTCATGATCGCCACAGTCTACGTGGCAGGCGGGACTAGCGAGAGCCAGGGAACAACCGACGCCCTTCGACGCGTCGGACCCGACTGACAGCGGCCTCCAAGACGGGGGCCGAAGGACCCGCCCTCCGAACTAGGAGGGGGGCGTGGCATCCGGGGAAGAGTCCCGGCCCTGGACACGGGGTCCACCCCCGCCCCTCGTTCGGGAGCGGCCAAGAGGAGAGGGGGTGTCCAGGAGGGGGGGGGTGCAAATCATGACTGGCGGCACGTGCGCGGCCCAGCGGGGGGGCCAGGGACGTAACGAAATAAGAAGAGGCGCCATGAAATCTGGGGAAATATTATGGCCCACGCCATGATATCGAGCCCGCCCTAGTCATCACCCCCCTCTGTTCCGCCCCCGACTAGTCATCACCTCCCATTTTGCCGCCCCCGAGGACGGTGCCAGCCCCGCCGCAGGCCTGCATCACTGGGGTGGGCGCGCGGACGACCTCCACGTTGATCTCCGCGCGGTTCTTCACCAGTTTGGCGCGCTTGCCTGCCGCGGGCCGGTGGCTCGCCATGCGCGCCGAAGCTGCCCGCCGCAGGCAGCCTCTCAGACCTGCGCCGTCCTCTTGCATCTACCCCTTCATGATCCTCCTGCTCCGCCTCCGCCTCCATCTCATCACTCCACCTCCTCCTAGGCATCCTCTTTCCTCCACCCCCACCCCGTCGCCCTCCGTCCTCCTCCACCACCAGAACAACCTACTCCTCCAACTCCTCCTTCCTCCTCCATTCTCCAAAACTTCGCCCCCCTCCATCATTCATCCATCCTCCAACTTCCGACTCCTCCTCCGTCCCTCCATAACTCCCTCCTCCTCCCTCCTGCGTGCCTCCTCCTCCTTCTGATAGAATCCTGTCACTGCGCCCTATACCTCCTCCTCCTTTTCCTTCTTCTTCTCCTGCTCCTTCTCCTCCTCCAATTCCGCCCGCTCCTCCGACTCCTCCCACTCCTCCAACTCCCCCAACTCCTCCAACTCCTCCAACTCCTCCAACTCCTCCAACTCCTCCAACTCCTCCAACTCATCCTCCTCCTCCTCCTCTTCCTCCTCCTCCTCCTCGAGTCGAGTAGCTAGAGACGTCTGTCTTGGCCGCCGATCTAAGCGTGGGAATATGAAAAGCAAGGACAGGGAAGAGGGGGAAAGAGGAGCAGCGACATCAGGGGCCGACAGTCCACGGATCCTCTTCGGCCGACCACGGAAAGTCACGAAGGGTATCCACACAATATTTTGTCTCAACAGGCTCGAGCTCGATGGGCGTCATAAGACCCACTAGTTGGGTGACACTGACTTCTCCACTCATCTGCTGCCTGCTGACAGCAACAGCCATCCACTCACTCCTGCGCAACATTTGGCCACGGGGATGGAGTAATGGGGAGGGCTCCAAGGCAGAGGGGGGAAGTCGAGGTAGGGGTCGGGAGCTCGACTCCAAAGAACCCCCCCCCTCGAGATGGAAACCACCAGCAAGGCCGTCGCAAGCTTGTGAGCTCGGTTGTCTTCACGGACGGCCTCTCTCTCGCGAGCGTTCAAATCACAACGGCCCCACGGGGCGTCATGCGCCCTGAGAGACCTCGCAAAGAGAGGACGGGCAGAGGAAGGGAAGCGGGGCTCTTTCCATGATTTTCCTCGTTCAATCCATACGGCGCACACATGTCCTGCTATGATGAGAGGGAGGAAGTGATCTCTGGCGTGCTGCAAGGAGGCCCTGAGCGGACAGAGGCCTTGTTCAGCCGCCAGCGTGGCGATGCTATGTACTCTTGATGAGTGTCCTACCAGAAGCACGATGGCGTGCCCAACAACACCTTGCGGACACTCGGAGATGAGATAGGAGGGCCTGGCAGAAATGGCGGGGTAAACCATTGGGAGGGCAGAAGGGGCACGGGCACGAGAAGTCAAGCGTAGGCCCATTGATCCTCACTTCGGGAAACTCGGCAAAGTTGTCATGCAACCCTTTCCTCCTATTTTCCGCCTGGATGGTAAGAGCTCGCTCCCTCCATTCTCGAAAATCCTCAGCTGAAGCCCGCATAGGGTGAGACTGGAGCTTCATCCTGCAGCGTGGCACTCTCTTCACGTGAGCATAGAGGCGGTTGGGTGTGTGAAATTCATTCATGCAAACTGGGCAGCTCGTGCCAACAACGATGTTCTCAACCTGTTTTCCTGCTCATGGGTCTTGCGAATGTGCATGGTGAAGGTACGCCTGTTGGGGGTGTGAAACCCACAATCGTAGCAAATGTAATGCAGCAGGTCTTGGTCGGGCTGTCTGGTGGCTTCGGTGGCCCAAGGGGTTCCCAACCTGGCTTGGGCGTCCAACCTCTGGCTCAGCTTGGTTTCACACTCGTCGGCTTGAATGTCACGGGCTCTGGTGGCCGCGTTCTGGAGAATGGTGTTGAACCTCTTGTGAAAGCAGCGCCCGAACTGGAACCAATCTTCGAGGGACCCTGTGTTCGGGATCTCCTTTTTCCTACATAGGCCGTTCAGCCAATTAAAGTCGTCTTGGAGCATGGAGGGCCACCCCACTCCACGAGCATATAGAAAATCCAGAGTAACTAACAACCCGCTTGGGGCACGCCGAAGTCCTCCTCCTCCTCCTCCTCCGTCTCCTCCTCCTCCTCCTCCTCCTCCTCCACCTCCTCCTCCTCCTCCTAAGCCTATTCCTCGCGATTTTCGTGACAGCCACGCCAGACGGCGTTCTGTTTGTTTGCATGAAGTGTGGCTACATATCGGAAGGAGCGCGGGTGGACAAGCTCGGTGCGCGCTGCAATAATCGCTCCAACAATGACCACACCCGGTCAAATTTTAAGCGCATCCGCAATGGGCAGCACCCGTCCCACGGGCGTGGTAACGCAGCAGTCCTTGACGAATTAGTGCCCTTGCATGACTTTTTGTTAAGGCGGAAAGGGGCTCACACTCGCATTGAGAGACTGTACCAATGCAGCGGGTGGAAAATATGTCGTCGTCCCCGCCGCCATCGACACATGGGGAGCAGTAGAAGGGGAGGGGTTTGACGAGTAGACAGCGAAGGGCAAAGGTAAGAGTTTGGCGATAATAAGGCTTCACAGTCGTGGGGCGGCCCTCCTGTTGAGGGAGGATGAGAGTAGGTAGTTAAGCGGGCTTCACAGTCGTGGAGCGGCCTCCCTCCAGAAGGAGGACGGTGGCGCATTCCATATAACGGGCTTCACAGTCGTGGGGCGTGTCTCGCCTGGTAGGCATCCGTGGGTAGATTACAGAGTACCCGAGTAATAGCGGTCGGGGTACGGCTTAGTAGTAGATCCCACTTGGAGGGGCACTGTGGGAGGGGGGTGGGCCTGCATAGTCGTGGGGGGACAAGCGACAGCGAAAGTAAAAGGATAAGAGGTTGGATATCATAAGCCTTCACAGTCGTGGGGCGGCCCTCCTGTTGAGGGAGGAGGAGTAGGGTAGTTAAACGGGCTTCACAGTCGTGGGGCGCCCCCCCCCAGTAGGAGTACGGTGGGCCTGGGACCTCGAGAATTCATCCCCTCACGAATTTTGAAAATACCCTTCTGGAGAGCCCATGTGGCTTGTAATCATGGCCCCCACATTGGCCGTGCGTCGTTATCCCATGGTGTGGGATGGAAGTTGGGGGGAAAATCCCGGGAGCAGTGTTTACTCGACCGCGGGTCGAATGCAGCAGGGTCGTAAGTGGGACACTTGAAGTGACCGCGGGTCGAACAGCCAACTCACACCTCGCCAGGGGAGGAGGACACTTCGGGTCTAGCCCCCCCCCGTGCTCGGGCAGTGGAGTAGGTTGTTGGCACCTACGCCGGGTAGGTAAGAGCGTTTGTTTAGGGGGGCCAGCCCGTGCACTACTCAGGGGCATTTCTAAAAGCATGCCGTCCATATCAGTAGCATGGCATTGCTTCAATAATGGGTGCATTGGTTTAGGCTGGCGACCCCCAAATTCAACTTGTGGCCATTTGGATGGGCAAGTTAGGTTGTGATGCCAAGGGCAGTCTAGAGACTCCCACTGCTAAAGCCCTACCTTGGGCCTCAGTGGAAGGCCGAATGGGGGTCGCAGGGGAGTGGCGTTTTCCCCCAGCAGGCTTTGCCGTATACCCTGTAGGAAGGGCTGAATTATACCTTAGTGAAAGGTGGGCCTTAGTTGGAGGCCTGCCGAATGCCCTCGAGTGAGGGCGGTTTCAGTGGGCGCCTTCTGCAGGGGAGGGGTGTTGCCCCCAAAAATTTTAGGCAGGGTCCAAGGCAATTGACCTGTGCCGGTTCGGCCCGAGACGCATCGCAACATCAGAGGCCTTTCGCAGTCGAGCATGAAGTGTCCGTGCTGCACGCGGGATAGGCAGCGTGATGCCAAGCGTCGGCTTCTGGAGACATGTGGCGGGCGCGATTGCGTCAAGAAGCTGAGGGTCAAATTCATAAGGGGAGTCAACAAGAAGAGAACCGCCTCGGCCCGCCGAAGGGCGGCACTGCGGAGGCCGGCTGCGGCAATGCGCCGGGTGGCAGAGGCAGGAGGGCAGGCAAGCATAAGAAGTGCCGTCCTGCGGAGGTTCGGGGAGCCTCCGGCCGCGAGCTTTCCCATAGGCACGCATTCCCGAGAGGGCTATTCAGAAGTGCAACACCTCCCACAGCCTTCCTGCCGAAGCTTCTTGCTAGACATGGCACAGCATGCTTTGAATTACGCGTGCGCCATTGCAGCCTTTCGGAGGCAGGGTGGAAGCAGCGTGCCTTCAGCGTTGAACATATTACCCTTCTGTTCAAAGGCCTGCAGCTGTCAAAAACTCAGGGTCTTACCACAGATCTCAGAGTTAGAACAGGAGGCCGGTATGGAGCTGGATGTTACTTCAGTCCAGATCCGCTGATCGCATTATCGTACACGAGACCCACCAGAGAGGATAGCTTGTCAACGGCGGACGGTGAGAGCAGGCACATCCTTATCTGCGCGGCCGCGCTGGGGACCACTAGGTTAGTAGGCAGCAAGAGGCAGGGCGCACTAGGTAGTGGACAAACGTCGACAGCCAACAGCCCACCAGATTCGTTACCTGGTACGGAGGTCTGCGTGCGGCCGCCGGGCACCCGGTGCGTCGTGATTGCAACGGCCACGATCGAGTTGCATTCGGGTGAATTCTGGCACGTTGCCAAGCACAGCCGCTGCCTGTCTGGGCGCACGGAGGACGGGGGCCCACTTGTGGTAGAATCCCGTCCCCGCTGGGATAACATGCCAGGGTGGCTATCGTGAGCCTGGGAGCCTCTGAAAGGACGTCTCGCCGTGCACATTTCGCGGGGCTGGAGGACCTCGCGGACATATGTGCAGATGCTCTACTGGTAGTTGTGTACGTCACAATGGTAGCATCATGTTGACACTCTTGTTGACCATTGCCAACAATGACGTTGTATCACGCCATGTAGCACGTTGCAAACATTGCAGAGTGTGCGGGAGAAAAGAAGCACAGTGCAATGGGGAGAGTACGAACATCAATAGAAAGATTCACATTGCCATGTAGTTGAACAGGTCATGCTCCATTTTGTTAGGGCACGAAACGGTAACAATTTACCCGTGCCTCAAACGACAGCCGAGACAATCCTCCTCCTCCTCCTCCTCCTCCCTCCTCCTCCTCCTCCTCCTCCTCCTCCGCCTCCTCCTCCCTCCTCCTCTACTCCTCCTCCTCCTCCTCCTCCTCCCTCCTCCCTCCTCCCTCCCTCCCTCCCTCCCTCCCTCCCTCCCTCCCTCCCTCCCTCCCTCCCTCCCTCCCTCCCCTCCCTCCCTCCCTCCCTCCCTCCCTCCCCCCACCCTCCCTCTCTCCTCCTCCTTCTCCTCCTCCGCCTCCGCATCCTCCTCCTCCTCATCCTCCTCCTCCTCCTCCGTCTCCTCCTCCGTCTCCTCCTCCTCCTCCTCCTCCTCCTGCCTCCTCCTCTGCTCATTCCTCTTCCCTTCCTCCTCTCTTCCCCCTCCTCCTCCTCCTCCTCTTCCTCCCCTCCTCCTCCTCCTCCTCCTCTCCTCCTCTTCTCCCCCTCCTCCTCCTCCTCCTCCCTCCTCTTCCTCCTCCTCCTCCTCCTCCCCTCCCCTCCTCCTCCTCCTCCTCCTCCTCCTCCTCTTCCTCCTCCTCCTCCTCGTCCTCCTCCCTTCCTCCTCCTTCCTCCTCCCCTCCTCCTCCCTTACTCCTCCCTTCCTCCTCACTTCCTCCTCCCTTCTGTCCCTTCCTCCCTCCTTCCCTCATCCTTCCTCCTCACTTCCTCCTCGCTTCCTCCTACTCCTTCTCCTCCTCCTCCTCCTCCTCCTCCTCCCCTCCTCCTCCTCCTCCTCCTCCCGTGCTCCTCCCTTGCTCCTCCTTTCCTCCTCCATTCCTCCTCCCTTCCTCCTCCCATCCTCCTCCCGTGCTCCTCCATTCCTCCTCCTCCTCCTTTCCGCAACCCCCTTGCTCCTCCCTGCCTCCTCCCTTGATCCTCCCTTGCTCCTCCCCTGCTCTTCCCTTGCTCCTCTCTTCCTCCTCCCTTCCTCCTCCTCCTCCTCCGTTACTCCTCCCATCCTCCTCCTGACTCCTTCCTTCCTTATCCCTTCCTCCTCCCTTCTTCCTCCTCCTCCTCCTCTTCCTCCTCCTCCTCCTCCTCCTCCTCCTCTTCCTCCTCCTCCTCTCTCCCCCTGCGGCTGCTGCTGCTGCTGCTGCTGCTGCTGCGCCTCTGCTCCTCCTGCTCCTCCTCTCGCTTTCTCTTTCTCCTCCCCTCCTTCTTCTCCTCCTCCTCCTCCTCCTCCTCCTCCCTCCTCCTCCTCCTCCTCCACCACCTCCTCCTCGTCGTCCTCCTCCTCATCATCCTCTTTTTCCTCCTCCTCCTTCTCCTCCCCGCCTTCTCCTCCTCCTCCTCCTCCTCCTCCTCCTCTTCCTCCTACTACTACTACCTTCCTCCTCCTCCCCTGCTGCTCCTCCTCCATTCCTTTTCCTCATTCACAATTTCTCCCTGTCGCACCCCGAAATCAATGTTTAGAGCGGGCCGGGCGTGTCCCCTGAGACTTTCTCACCATGTATGACTCTGAAACGTAAAAGCTGGCAACAGTTTCACAGCTGATTGGCGGGCTGTTTTCAAACTGTGGCTCTCGCCTTGGCGCCGCGCACATTCGCTTAAACCATTTGCAAGAATGTCACGGATTGATGGCGACCTATTCTACATTGCAAGAGCTTCACGGATTGAAGGCGGGTGCTCGTCAAAATGTGTCTCTCGCCTTGGCGCCGCGCACATTCGTTTCAATAAATTGCAAGAGTTTCACGGACTCCCATGGTCACCGTACCAGAACTGGTGTTTGGGAGGGATTCAGGATTATGCGGGTGCAACAGTTGCGTTGATTCGCGGTGTTGAAGTCCCAGGGATGGCATTCTGGCACGATTCAGGATCGTCAAGACGCAGCAGTCCGGTTGATCCGTAGCGTTGGAGACTCGAGAAACATGCTTTGGCATGCTTCAGGGTCTTCAAACGGTTGTCTTCCAACGAGGCAGCTCCCTCAGTGGAAATGAGCCGTTGCAGGGGCCTATGAAGAGAGAGCTTTGAGAGAGGGTTTGTTCCAACATCGTTGATGACTCTCCTCCTCCTTCTCCTCCTCCTCCTCCTCCTCCTCCTCCTCCTCCTCTTACTCCTCGGCTGCTCCTCCTTCTCCTCCTCCTCCTCCTCCTCATCATCATCGTCATCATCATCCCTCTCCTCCTCCTCCTCCTCCTCCTCCTCCTCCTCCTCCTCCTCCTCCTCTTCCTAGTAGCCTCCCTTTGCCTCCATCCCCAGTTCCTCCTCCTCCTCCTCCTCCTCCTCCTCCTCCTCCTCCTCCTCCTCCTCCCCCTTCTCGCCGCACTTGGTCTCCCACCCCCTCCTCGCCCCCTCCTGCTCTACGTTTTTGCGCTGCCCATGCTGAGGCGAGGAGGACTCCGAAGAGCCTGCGAGGATGAATGATCGACGGACCGACTGGGGCAAGGCAGCCTGGCACCGAGCCTGAAATGACATGAAAGTGAGCTGACAGCTCCTCCTCCATCTCCTCCCGCCCCCCTGCCAACGCCACCACCTCTTCATCCTCCTCTTGCCCACTTATTCTAAGAAGCCTTACCCTTCTCCCCCTCCCCCTCCTCCTCCCCTCCCCCCCCCCCCTCCTCCTCCTCCTCCTCCCTCCTCCTCCTCCCCCCCCCCCCCTCCTCCTCCTCCTCCTCCTCCTCCTCCTCCTCCTCCTCCTCCTCCTCCTCCTCCTCCTCCTCCTCCTCCTCCTCCTCCTCCTCCTCCTCTTCATCCTCCTGCCTGCAAATGAAGCCAGTCGCTGGGCTGGCGCCCCCATTGGATCTCGAGGGGCCCCCCTGCGACAAAACTCATGGACCACGATTCGCCTGCCACGCCTCACCCTTCTCCCTCCTCCTCCACTTCCTCCTCCTCCTTCTCCTCCTCCTCCATCATCATCATCATCATCATCATCATCATCATCATCATCATCATCATCATCATCATCATCATCATCATCATCATCATCATCATCATCATCATCATCATCATCATCATCATCATCATCATCATCAGCATCAGCATCAGCATCAGCATCAGCATCATCATCAGCAGCAGCGCATCATCAGCATCATCAGCATCAGCATCATCAGCATTCACCATTATCATCAGCATCAGCATCAGCATCAGCATCAGCATCAGCATCAGCATCAGCATCATCATCATCATCATCATCATCATCATCATCATCATCATCATCATCATCATTAGCATCATCATCATCATCGTCATCATAATCAGCAGCATCAGCATCATTATTATCACCAGCATCGTCATCATCATCAGCATCATCGTGATCATCATCATCATCATCATCAGCACCATTACCATCAGCAGCAACGCCATCATCATCAACAACATCAACATCATAATCATCATCCGCGTAGTTAAGCATCATCATCCATATCATCAACGTCATCAACATCACAATCACCACCACCACCATCGACATCATCATCGTAATCATCATCATCATAACCAGCATCAGCATCATTGTAATCATCAACCTCCTCCTCCTCCTCCTCATCATCATCAGCATCAGCAGCATCATCATCATCATCATCATCATCATCATCATCATCATCATCATCATCATCATCATCCGCATCATCATCAGCATCATCATCATAACAATCACCATCACCATACCCATCATCATCATCATCATCATCATCACCATCATCACCATCATCATCATCATCATCATCATCAACAACACCATCGCCATCACCACCATCATCATCAGCATCAACAGCATCATCGGCATCATCATCGTTATTAGCCACATCAGCATCATCAGTCTCATCAACGTCATCAGCATCATCAGCATCATCGGCATCATCATCACCATCAATATCAGCATCAAATTCATCATTTCCATCATCATCATCACCATCACCATCACCACCATCATCATCGTCATCATAATCAGCATCAGCATCATCATCATCACCATCAGCATCATCATCGTCGTCATCATCATCATCAGCATTATTACTATTATTAGTATGATAATTATAATTATAGTTATTATTACTATTGTTATTTCTTAAATTTATTATTCGTATTACTATCATCATCAGCATCATAATCATCATCATAATGATTATCACCCTCCCATCGTCTGCCCTTCTCCTCTTCCCCCTCCTGCCCCTCCCTGCTCTTCCTCCGCCTGTAACTCCTCCTCCTTCTCATCCCTCTTCTTGCCCCTCCTCCTCCTCCTCGTCCTCCTCCTCCTCGTCCTCCTCCTCCTCCCCTTCCTCCTCCCACTACCCCTCCTCCTTCTCGTCCTCTTCCTCCTCCTCCCGCACCTTACTCCTCTTCATTCTCGTCCTCGTCCCCCATTGTCTTGTTCTTCCTGATCCCCCTCCTCCTCCTCCTCCTCCTCCTCCTCCTCCTCCTCCTCCTCCTCCTCTTCCTTCTCTCTCTCTCTCTCTCTCTCTCCTTCTGTCTCTACTCCTTCTCATCCTCCTCTCTCCCCCATCCTCCTCTTCCTCTTCCTCCTCCTCCTCCGACGCGTCCGCCCGAGCACTGTGATCGGGAGCCGGCGCAACCTTCCAACCCCGGGGTAGGCTCACCGTTCAGCGGCGGCCGCCCCTTGGGGGGAGGGGGTGCGCCAGACGCCAGCCGGGTCCTCCTCCTCCTCCTCCTCCGCTGCTGCTGCTGCTGCTCCCACTTCCCCCCTGTCTTAGCACGCAGCTCGCCGAACTCGAGGGAGGAGCGTGTCTCTTGCAAGTTCGCTACGTCCGTCGAGCAGGTGATGATCAAGCAGGTCCTTGGCACATCAGCCGTCGCGAGTGCGACGCCACACCGATCTGGGGCCGGGCTGGGCGCTTCGAACAGGAAGAGAGAGAGAGAGAGAGGATATGCATACATATATATAGAGAGAGAGAGAGAGAGAGACAGAGATGTGTATCTACATATATGTATATATATAGACATACATACACATGTGTATACATATATAACAATTACAGGACATGTGCTGGAACAGCGCGCGCACTTCGCGCGCTTATGTTCTAGCCAAGGCAAACCCAACGTCACATCAATTAGCGGACGAGTACGCACGCCATCCCATTAGATCCCACCACGATCACCACGTGGGAACACCTGCGCTAGTGTGGTCATACATACCAGAGTAGCGCCTCCCCGCCTACTGCGGCACATCCTTCACACGGATCATGGCCTCGAGGAACTCCACCTACGGCCCCCACCCATCTCGGCACATCCTTCAAAAGGATTGCGCCCCATAGGGAGATCCACCTACGGCCCCACCGCATAGCGGCACACCCCTCACGCGGATAGTGTTGCCCTGCAGGTAACTGCACTTGAAGGGAAGCTTCGCGTAGCATCGCCCCACTCACGTCGGCACATCTCTCGCACGGATTGTGCCTTGCAGGAAAAAACCACCTTCGTCTCTAATGACAAGGTTCGCATCCCGCCCCCCCCGCCTACTTCGGCACACCTCTCACACTGATCGTGCCCCACAGGGAGCTCCACCGACGGCCCCAGGGACAAAATGTTCATAGCGTACCCACCCCGCCCATTGAGGCACACCGTTCAAGCGGAACGTGCGCCACAAGGAACACCACCCACACCCCCGGAGACAAGGCTTGCACATCGGCCCCCCGCCCATGGTCGGCACGATGCCCACGTGACTGGCGCCCTGGGAAAAAAAAACCACATGCAGCATCAACAGGCAACCTCGCATGGCGGCCCCCCGCCCATGGTCGGCGCACTGCTCACGCGACTGGCGCCCTGGGAAAAAGGTCCACATGTACCATCAACAGGCAACCTCGCCTGGCGTCCCCCCCGCCCATGCCTCCCCGTCGCTCGGACGTTCATTCCCTGCGCTTCTTTCGGCTTCGTGCGTGGTCTTCTCGCAGGATGATCCAGGGTGCTCCTCAAGAAACCCCGCCGAAGGAAAAATGCACACGTCCGAGCGATGCCAAGGCCCTCGGAAAAAAAGGTCCACCTGTAGCATCAACAGGCAACTTCGCCTGGCGTCCCCCCGCCCATGCTCGGCGCTGCTAAGGCCCAGTAAGACGACCGGCGTGCTGACCCCCCCCCCTTCGCGACAAGAGGTGCGTCGCGCATGCGTCGCCCGTGCGCCGCCCGTGCGTCGGCCGCCGTAAAGGCCAGCCGCCCTCTCGAACATGCACGTCGCCCTCGCAAGGGTCGTGCCCCACAGGGAGCTCCAGGCTGCGGCCTCCGCGGGCAGGGGCCGCACGCGGCACGCGGCGCGCCCCCGCGCACGCCTGCGCCGCGGCAGCGTGCCGTGGGCGGCCCTGCGGCGCGCATGCCTGTGCAGAGAGGGCTGCGCCCTGCGGGTGGTGCGGGTGCGGGTGCGGGTGCGGGTACGGGTTTCCTTCCTCTGTTAATGCAAGCTGTGCGCGGCCCGCTCAGCTTCGGCCGGAAGAGGCTCGCTCTCGACCCGCGGATCAAAAAAAATGCGGTTGCGGGTGCGGGTGCGGGTGCGTGTGCGTCGCCAGGCCAATTGTGTGCTATCTGTGGCTCTCGGCCCAGACTGCCACCGTGCCTGAGTGCTGGCCCAGAGGCTTCCCTGATACCTGCAACGGGGGGTCTCTGGGCATGCTTCTCGGGCGCCTCGCGGAGGGAGCTTTGAAGCTTCTCGGGGCCTCTTGGGGGCCGCTTTGGGGCCTCTTCTGGGGCCCTTGGGGGCCTCTTAGGGGCCTGCTGGAAGCCTCAGGGGTCCACATGGGGCGGGCGGCTCGGAATTTGAGTTCGGGTGCCCCCTCTTGGGTCTCTCTTGGGGCCGTCTTGGGCCGTCTTGGGCACCCCTTGGACCGTCTTGGGGCTCCCGGGGCCATCTTGGGGCCCTCCCGAGGGCATATTGGGCCGTTTTAGGGCGATCTTGGGGGCCTCTGGGGCCGCCTTGGGCGCCGTGAAGATTCAAGAAGCGAATCTGACAAAAATCAACCTTTCCTTCGGGGATGCAACCATTTTGGCAATCTGGGGGCGCTCTTGGGGAGCATCTTGGAGCCTTTAGGGTCTCTTGGGGGCCTCTTGTGCCGTCTAAAACCATCTCGGGGCGTTTTGGGCCCAATTGCGCTCCTCTCGTCGCGAGCCGGAGTGCAAACGAGGAGGAGGAGGAGGAGGAGGAGGAGCAGCAGCAGCAGCAGCAGCGGCAAGAGCAAGAGGCGAAAGAGGAGAACGGGTCACCTGGAACCAACGAAAAAGGGCGACCGACGAGGCCCACGGAGGCGACCCGACCGAGCGCCTCGCTCGGACGCCCCTTCTCTGTGCATCCTTCGGTTTCGTGCGTGTATTTCGCACGGTAAACAGAACTGCTCCCCGATGGCCCTTTGCCATGCGCAAGCTGGCCATCGCTCGGACGTCCATTCCCTGTTTTTTGTTTTGATTTCGTGCGTGGTTTTTTCGCCCAATGATCAAGAATGCTCCTCGATGGTCCTCGCCGAAGGAAACATGCACACGTCCGAGCGATGCCAAGCAAATGTGCACGTCCGAGCGATGCCAGGCGGCCGAGCGCGGGGCTTGGAGCTGCCCCCGAAGCTCTCGGCCAGCAGGCGCGTCAGGCACGAGTCGCGGTACGGCACCTGCCCAGGCATCCGACGCCGTAAGCTTTATCACGACGGCTTCCCCGGGAGGCCTGGACTCGGCGGCGGCGACGGGGGCGAAGAGCCCAGGGGTGGGCACTACACGCATTCGCCCGGGAGCCTCGCCGAAGACATGGGCCATCAGCGCCCCTGGATGCGTGCCCAGACCTCCTCGCGTCGTGAAAAAATCACGACGGGAGGTTTTTCGCAATTTTCGGCCTCCAGGGCCCTTCCCGGGCCTCGGGACCGTCAAAAAACGACTCAGGGTGAAAATCCGGTCCCGGGGAAGGGGTCCAGACCTCTGGGGATCGACGCTGTGAAAAAATCACGACGTCGGGGGTCTGGGTGTACTGCTCCCCCCCCCCCTGGGCTATTCGCCCCTATCGTCGCCTCCGATGGACTTGACCCCCAAGGCCCGCCCTTCCTGCCGAGTCGTCTTCTGCCGGTCCTACGGTCCTACAGGGCCCGGCGAGGCCGCCCAGGAGCCGAAGACCGTTGAAACCTCCGTCCCCAGACCCCCGACGTGGTGACTTTCTCGCAGCGCCCACCCCCAGAGGTCCGGACCCTTTCCCCGGGGCACGGGGCCGGTTTTGCGTCCCCCGAGTCGTTCTTTGACGGTCCCGAGGCCCGGTGAGGACCTCCGGAGGGCGCAAAGAGCGAGGAACCTCCCGTCGCGCTTCTTCCACGACGCGAGGGGGGGTCTGGGCATCGAGCTTCTCGAGACCCAGACCCCCGACGTCGTGATTTTTTCACGACGTCGACCCCCAGAGGTCTGGACCCCTTCCCCGGGACCGGTTCTTCGTCCTGAGTCGTTTTTTGACGCTCCCGAGGCCCGGTGAGGACCTCCGGAGGGCGCAAAGAGCGAGAAACCTCCCGTCGCGCTTTTCCCACGACTAAAACAGGGCTAGGATAGGGATAAATCGCTCTAGAGCGGCCGCGGCGCCCAATACATCCTCCAAACCCGCCGATTCTCAGGGCCGCCGCGGCCGACCGTCACGGACCGCCGACCGTCGATGGCTGTCGTTGGCCGCTCGCCGCGGTCGTCAACGATCGTCGTCGTCGTCGTCGTCGTCGTCGTCGTCGTCGTCGTCGTCGTCGTCGTCGTTGCCGTCGCCCCCTGTGTCGCGATTGCCGTCGTCCATCGTCGTCGCTGTCGCCGTCGTCGTCCTCCTCCTCTTCCCCCTCCTGCCTCCCGCTGCTCCTGCTGCTCATGGGAGTCGGGAGCTCCGTCGTCTGCCGTGGAACGCCGTCGCTCGCCGTGTTTCGCGGTCGTCGCCGTCGTGGTCGTCGTCGCGATGACCGTCACCGACGGCGACGTCGTCGTCGTCTTCCTCGTCCGATCGCGTTTTCATGCTCGTGCTGCTGTCCGCCCCAGTTTGAAGCTCCCGCTCTGCATTGCAGCGGTGCTGTCGGAGTGCCTCACCATGCATATCACCACGCATCTTACCATACCCCGTGGGGTCGACGAAATTACCAAGAAGGCGACTAAGCTGTTCCCGTCGGACAGCGTCGACACGAACACGTACCTGGACAAGACTACGGCTGGAGCAGCACAATCCGAACCACCATGTCCCCCAGACGGAAGACGCCGTAGTCTCCAACTACCCCACGTGGATCCCCCATAACTCGCGAAACTTCCTTCTCCTCCCTCCTCCTCCTCCCCCTCCTCCTCATCCGGTTCCTCCTCCTCCTCGTCCTCTTCCTCTTCCTCTTCCTCCTCCACCTAATCATCCTCATCCTCATCATCAACATCATCATCGCCCACACCACCATCATCTATATCATCAACATCAGCAAGCTCGTAATCCCCATCGTCGTCATCTTCATCACCATCATCATCGTCACCACCGCAATCGTCATCATCATCATCAGCAGCAGCAGCAACATCATCATGATCATCAACATCAGCATCATCATCGCCATCATAGTCATCATCGTGATCAACATCACCATCACCACCACAATCACCATCATCATCATCAACATCGTCATCACCATCATCAGCATCAGCAGCATCATGATTAACATTACAATCCTCACCATCACCATCACCATCAGCATCATCCTCATCCTCCTCATCATCAGCATCAACATCATCATAATCATCATCACATCGTTCATACCATCATCAACATCAGCATATGCATCATCATTATCATCATCGGAATGTTCATCTTCATGCTCATCCTCATCCTCATCACCACAAACACGACCACCATCACCATTACTACCAGTATCCGCCGACCCCTTGTGGGTCTCTAGGCGTGTGAAATAATTCCCCCCCCCATAACCCCTCCCAGGGGCCCGAAACCGGAGATTTGATTCCCCCCCCCCCCCTCGCCGACTACGACCCCCCGCCGAACGCGCCAAGGGGGAGCAGAGGGCCCAAAAACGGGCCAAGAGCGCACCAAGGGGTCTCCGAGACGGTCCAAGAAGGCCAAGAGTAGCCAAACGAGCGGTCCAGGACGGCCAAGAGGACCCCAAGACAGGCAGAGAGACCTCCGAAACAGCCCAAGAGGCCTCCAAGAGGCGCCCCAAGAGAGCCCCCTAACTCAAAAAGGGTCCCATTCCCTTCGTACGGCAGGTTCGTGTCGTGCCGACCCCAGCGTTGGTTTTTGACACCGCAGGGATCGTTCAACCTTGAACGATCGGCCGCTGCCGCAACGTCCGATCGTTCAACATCGATCGACTCTGGGTCACCGGCGGCGTTCAACCTTGAACGCCCGCGCTGGGGTCGCCGCTGGTCGGCACGACGCAAACCTACCGTCAAAAAGGGTCCCATTCCCAGACCCCAGACGTCGTGATTTTTTCACAACGTCGACCCCCAGAGGTCTGGACCCCTTCCCCGGGACCGGTTCTTCGTCCTGAGTCGTTTTTTGACGGTCCCGAGGCCCGGTGAGGGCCTCCGGAGGCCGAAAATCGCGAAAAACCTCCCGTCGTGATTTTTTCACGACGCGAGGAGGTCTGGGTTCCCTTCGTGAAACCTATCGTTTCAGCCTTCTCGCCTATTTCCGCTGCCCGATGCTCAACGTCGGCAGGCGCGCGCCGCCTCGGGGCCCTCTTGGAGGCCTCTTGGGCCGTCTTGTGGCGGGTTTGGGTGGTGGCGGGTTTGGGTGGCCTCCTCCTCCTCCTCCTCCTCCTCCCTCCTCCTCCTCCCTCCTCCCTCCTCCCTCCTCCTCCTCCCTCCTCCTACTCCTCCCTCCTCCTCCTCCTCCCTCCTCCTCCCTCCTCCTCCTCCCTCCTCCTCCCTCCAGCCTTTCTCGCCTTCTCCGCTGCCCGCTGCGCAACGTCGGCAGGGCGCGCCCCTCGATCCCCGCGGCCCTCCGAGACGCTCGCCGCCCGAGCGGCCACCCCGAGGCCCGCCTCCCCGGCCCGCGGCGCGCCGACCCTGTCCAGGAGGAGGAGGAGAGGAGGAGAGGAGGAGGGAGGAGGGAGGAGGAGGGAGGGAGGAGGAGGGGAGGAGGAAGGGAAGAAGAAGGAGGAGGAGGAGGGAGGAGGGAGAGGGGAGGAGGAGGAGGAGGAGGAGGGAGGAGGAGGAGGGGAGGAGGGAGTGGATCGGAGGAGGAGGAGGAGGAGGAGGAGGAGGGAGGAGAGAGGAGGAGGAGGAGGAGGAGGAGGAGGCCCCCCAAACCCGCCACAAGACGGCCCAAGAGGCCTCCAAGAGGACCCCCGAGGCGGCGCGCGGGGGCCCCAAGACGGCCCCAGGGGCCGCCCAGTGCGGCCCAAGAGGGCCCCAAGACGTCACAAGAGGGGATCCAAAGGCCGAAGAGGTCTCCGTGGGTTCGTTTTGCTCCCCCACCTCCTTCGCTGTCCTCCTCCTCCTCCTCCTCCTCCTCCTCCTCCTCCTCCTCCTCTGTCCTCCTCCTCCTCCTCCTCCAAGAAGGCTTTAGATGCCCCCTCTGAGCTTCAAGAGGTCGCCGAAGAGGCTCCAAGTGGTTCCCGCGGGGGCTCCCAGAGAGGCCCTACGAGGCGCCCCAGAAGTCCAAGAGAGGCCCTGCGAGGCGCCCCGAAAGTCCAAAAGAAGCACCAAAAGGGCTCCCACGAGGCCTCCGAAGAGCCACTCGTTGTCGTCGTCGCCTTCGCCGTCTCCGTCTTTTTGTCTCCGTTTTCTACTCTCCGCCCTTCTCCTCCTCTTCCTCCTCCCTTTCCTATCCCTCCTTTTTTATCCTCTGCTCCTCACCCTCATCCTCATCCTCATCCTCCTCCTCTGCTTTCGCCTTCTTTGCGTTCCTCGTTTCATCGGCCTTCTCGGATGCAGATGATGATGTTAAGGAAGCGGAAGCAAAAGGAGGAAGAGGAAGACAATAATCAAGAGAAGCCGGCAAACGAGCAAAGATGATGAGGAGTTCGAGTTCGAGATCTCGAGAGGGTTTGGTCCAAACGACCCGCTTGACGTGGTTCGAGGACAAGAGAAAACGCCAAAGTGCAGGATGTTTACGATCCTCCGCGAGCTGAGCGGCAAGCGGGAGGATGAACGCGACCCCCAGGAATTCCCGGAAGCCCCCCCAGGGCATCGAGAGCATCCCTCGCGAGGCCCAGAAGTGCCACAAATGCAGAAAAGCCTACGGGGACTGTGGGCCAAGGGTACCTTTCCTGGAAGAGAATACGACATGAACATAGACTTTCGGCGGTCCTCCGCAGATTTCTTGGATCCGAGGGGGAGGAGGAGGAGGAGGAGGACGACGACGACGAGGAGGAGGAGGACAAGAGAGGAGGCGGAGGCGGAGGCGCAGGAGGAGGAAGAAACGGGTCGGAGAAGGAGGAGGCGGTGGAGGCGGGGGAGGAGGAAGAGGAGGTGGAGGAGGAAGAGGAGGCGGAGGAGGAGGAGGAGGCGAAGGAGATGGAGACGAGGAGGAGGAGAATGAGAGGGTGGCGGAGCCTACGGGACGCGTTCGCAAACCTATGAAACGCTCGAGCCCCTTTCCATGAGGAAGTTGTCCATGTGCCCACGAGGCGCCCTTCGAAACAAGGGATCCTTCGAAACAAGGGGTCGGCGGATGTGGCGTAAGCCTGAAGACTCACCATCATAATCATAATCATAATCAGAATCATCATCATCATCATCATCATCATCATCATCATCATCATCATCATCATCATCATCATCATGCTCATCAAGCTCATCATCATCATGATCATGATCATGATCATGATCATCATCATCATCATCATCATCATCATCAGCATCATCATCATCATCGTCATCGTCATCATCGTCATCATCATCGTTATCATCCTCGTGTTCATCCTCATCAACATCAACACCATCATCACCATCATCACCGTCATCATCAGACGCATCATCATCATCATCATCATCATCATCATCATCATCATCATCATCATCATCATCATCACCATCATCATCATCATCATCATCATCATCATCATTATCATGAGCAGCAGCAGCATCAGCATCATAATCAGCGTCAGCATCAACATCATCATCATCATCACCACCATCAACATCATCATCAGTGATGTGACAAGATCGGGGGAACATATGTCACAACCACCGGGGACGCCGTTTAGGCGGGCGGGACATCAAATATACGATTCACTCAGTATTGGTGCGTTCGGTCGGGCGGGCGGGCGGACATTAAATCCAGCCTTCACTCAGTGATGGAGCGTCATCATCATCATCATCATCATCATCATCATCATCATCACCATCACCATCACCATCATCATCTTATTACCAACATCAGCATTCTCATAACCATCGCCATCGCCCATCATCATCATCATCATCATCATCACCATCATCAGCATCATCACCATCACCATCATCATCATCATCATCACCATCATCATCATCACCATCAGCATCATCAGCATCTCATCATCTCATCATCCTGTCTCTTCATCTCCTCCTGGATGAATGAAGGGGGGGCAAGGAAGAAAAAGGGGGGGAGGGAGCCGCGCGTTGGCCGCGCGAGCCCTCGGCCCCCTTTTCGAGGGCGAGTCGGCTCGGCAATGACGCTCGCATTTCCTTGGATGCTCGTGCTGGGGACCTTCCTGGAGCCACTCGCTCCGCTCGTGCGTCGAAGCTGCGTCGAACCTTCGTCGAACCTTCGTCGAACCTTCGTCGAACCTGAGTCGAACTTGAGTCGAACTTGAGTCGAACTTGAGTCGAACTGGGGTCGAACAGATCCGTTAGCTGGGCTCCAGGAGGGTCCCCGAAAGGAGCATCGAAAATTCCCGCTGACCTGAAGCGAGCAGGTCCCGGACTGCCCGAGTCGTTTTTTGGGCAGGCCCCAGGCCCGTGGAGGGCCCCGGGAGCCAGGGCAGGGAGAAGAGCCTCAGGGCCCGCTGACCTGAAGCAAGCAGGTCCTGGACCTCCTGCATCGCTTTTTTTGCAGTCCCAAGTCCCGTGGAGGGCCCCGGGAGGCAGGAAAATGAGAAGAACCTCAGGGCCCGCTCCTGAAGCAAACAGGTCCTGGACCTCCTGCATCGCTTTTGTTTGCAGGCCCCAGTCCCGTGGAGGGCCCCGGGAGGCAGGAAAACGAGCAGAACCTCAGGGTCCGCTGACCTGAAGCAAGCAGGTCCTGGACCTCCTGAATCGTTTTTTGGAGGGAGTTCCCGTGGAGGGCCCCATGGGGAGTTCCCGTGGAGGGACTTCGTGACTCCATAGGGAATTCCCGTAGAGGGGCTTCCCGTAGAGGGACTTCCCGTAGAGGGAGGGACTTCCCGTAGAGGGACTTCCTGAATCGTTGTTTGGACTCCGTGACCCCATAGGGAGTTCCCGTGGAGGGCCCCGGGAGGCAGGAAAGTGAGAAGAACCTCAGGGCCCCTTTCTCGGAGCCGAGCGGGCTGAGACGGCGCCGGCTCCAAATCGGTTCCTGGTCCTGGACCCCTCCTGGGCCTCCTGGGGTCCATTGGGCGGCGCGCAAAAGGGGGTAGGGGGAGGGGGGAAGGCTTCTTAGAAGGAGGCTGCTTCTGAGAAGGCGCCGGCCTTACGTCTATAGATAAGGCCCGCGCCTTCTAAGAAGCAGGGGTGCTTCTAAGAAGCCCTCCCCCTCCCCCCACCCCCCTCTGCGCGTGGCTGGGTCCAAGCGCACCAGTTGTCCGAGCCACGTCCAGTCGTGGGGACGAGGGGACCCCCGAAGGCCAGGCCAACTACCCTTGTCTCAACTGGCCCTCCTCCGACTTTCTTTCGCCAGAGGAACAGACAACGGCATAAGCAAGAATGTTCGGAGGTCCGCGTGGATTTCCCGGATCTGCGCTGGACCCTTTCCCCTGGCGCGCTCCGCGCGCCAGGGACGGCGCCGGAGGCACCGCCAGTAGGTCGCCCATCCAAGAAATCCGCGCGGAGCACCGACCGTTTCTGTTTTGAAGTCGAGTGGGAGGTCGACGACTTACAGTCTTGATGCACGCCAAAATGAATGTGTCCGGCGAATCCACAAACAAATCCGTAGACCTACATTATTTCGCGGATTCGATTCCAGGGTACCAATGCTGTAGTCAATCCCCAACTCGAATGGTTATACAAGCGTTTCTTCCTCGAACTCCTTCGATTGAACAGGAACCGACCGACCGTCCTGGCATTCCTCTTGGCCTACCACGACATGTTCCTAGAACCCCAAAAGTGTTCCAACAACACGAATGCTTGTTTGTAGTGAGGCCCACGTGCTAAAACGAGCCGGCCCTGGCCAGAAATGTTCTCAGGAACCGTTCGTGGGACGCACAAAGACATACTAGTACTAGATGTCCTCCTTGGAGGCGCGCGTCCGACCCGAACATATAGTATACCCATCTTGTGGTATATCGTTTCCCGAGCGGTGTGGCCAGAAAGCGCCCGCCACGACGCATATACTATAAGATTTCTCGGTGCGCGCGTCGCCCCTGGGGGGGCGACGCACATATAGTATAAGTATGTTGGGGTGTTGCCGAGTTCGTGCAGACCCCAAGAAGTCTTCAGAGCACTCTTTGGCGGGCCTGCAGGGCAGGCCAGGGCGCTCCGCCACTGCTGGCTCCGGGGCGGCCCATAAAAGGGGGGGCAGCGGCGGGAGGTCCGCGCGCGGAGCTCCGGGAGCTCGTGCTGACGCCGCGCTGTCCTGGGTCACCACCCCCTCCTTAAAGGGAAATTAGGACACACAAATAAATACACACAAATAAAATTAGTCCCCATATTTTCCCATATTTTCTGGGTTTTTGTCTTCCCCCCCACTTCCCATATTTTCCCATATTTTCCTCGGGATCGAGGATTAATTGTGTCTGTGTGTTTTTTCCTCTCCTGATCCTTGTCAGTCGGGGATCTTCTGACCCGGGTCAATCCAGACCCGGGTCATCAGGAAACCAACAACTGCAATGCAGGGAAAAAAACTGCAACGCAGGTCCTCGCAGACCCGGGTCAGCCACTATGTGCGGCCGCCTCGCGGCCACGAGCGGCCACCAAGCCCGGGTCAGCCAGAGGGGGTCTCCGCAGGATCCTGCAGGATCTGGCGCCCTGGCTGACCCCTGTCTGCACTGACCCCCGTCTCAGGGCTCCCGCGTCAGTCCTTGTCCCCCCCCTCCCGGCTATACGCAAGAATGACCCTGGGCAAGAGCGTGCGGGCAATACTTCTGTCCATACCCATTGCAGTATGGAGTTTCGGGCTTCCTTCCCCGGAAAGCCGAGGCGCACTGGATATGGACAAATTTGGCCCCCAGAGGCTCGATTAGTTCCTATATCCAGTGCGCCTCGGCCTTGTGGCGCCCCTCTCGAGAGAGTTCAAACCGCACTGGATATGGATATAAATCCTGCCCGCAAGAGCGACCTCTGGTGCGCGGCTTTGGGGGGGCGCGTCCAGGCCAGATCCAGGCGCGCGCTAGCCGCTGCTACCGCTTCGCGCTCGGCCATCTGGGGGCCCATCTGCGCCCGCACCAACGGTCACTCCGGCGAAAGGTCACGCTTACATCTAGTCGATCCTCCCCTTCCGCCGCCCGGGCCGCTGGCCGGGCGCGGCGCCATCTGCGAGCTGCTGCTCGGGCACGTGAGGCGCGCGATCACAAGCGCCTGAGGCGCCCCCGGGAGAGGAGGCCATCGCCGTTGTCATCGCGGGTCTCCGCCGGCTGCTACGACGACGACGACGACGAGGACAATGACGAAGACGACGGTGACGACGACGACGACGACGACGACGACGACGACGACGACGACGACGACGACGACGGCCAGGCGGCCCGACAGGGACGGGTCTGCCGGCTCGGATCCCGAGTCTCTCCTGAGGGGGCACCCGCCGGAGCCTGCCGCAGCCCTGCTTCGACGGGCAAGCGAGGAAGAGGACCTGGAGCGTCCCCACGTTCCGACAGGGAGAGGGGAGACCCCTCCCCCCCCCCCCCGAAGAGCGGGACACCTTTTTTACGGCGGCCAAGCGCGGGGAAGTGCCACGCGCTCCTGAGCGGCGGCGCGCGGGCGCTCTCCCCCCTTCTCCCTGTCAGCCCAGCATGCCCAGCCCGACCCTTCCCAAAGCCCGGGGCAGCCTAGATTGACTCGGCAGCAGGTAGGCGCGTTGAGGGCGATCACCACCAAGAGGGCTTTGGCCACCTGCCCGTCGCCATCTTCTAGGCTATGTTTCTGACCGGGTTTGTCCCTTGTGTCCTCATAGATATAGCCGATAACTCTCACATGCCGTGGACGTGTGATGCCACCGAGGATGGGAGCAATTCTGCGCACAGCGATTCCGACATTGCGGCGCTGCCGTGCCCCAGTCCCACTTCCTCGCTGTGGTGTCGTGTTCTTTACCCGAAGACGCCGCCGCTGCAACTACCTGCACGGGACGATTCAGCAAGGTGGCATGCGCTGTATGGGGATTGTTCCTTTGTCACAGGAAAAATGTTCTCCGACGGCGCGTGCCGCAAATACTTCTACTGGCCTTAAGCCACGCGAGCAGGCTGGGGGGTCGCTCAGCTGGATGAGAATGCTATGTGTCTATGGTGCACTGCCTGGGCCTGTGCAAACAGGCCCTCGGGCGGAGATGTACGCTGTGGTGCAGACCCTTCGTGTCGTGCTCCTACCGCTGGCCATGTGCACCGACTTTCCAGCGCTGCCGCATGGACTGGAGAGAGGGCGAGCATGGTGCTGCACCCCCAGGCGACCGAATGTCGACATGTGGGTGGAGGTATGGACTCGACTCGATGACCTTGGAGGCTCGAGTTCATACTTGCAGATTATGAGCACTCCTGGCCACCGGAAGCTGGCCATCGCTCGGACGTCCATTCCCTGTGTTTTTGTTCGGTTTCATGCGTGTTTGTTTTGACTACCTCCCAAACCACCCCAACCCAACCCGAAGACCCGAATTTCGGGTTGGGCGGGGTACGGGTTCCATATGTGTTTTCTCAACGTTCCCCGACCCCCCCCAACTGGAAATGGAGGGCAAATTGGGGCCTTCGGGTTGGGTTGGGGTGGTTTGGTGGGCGGTGATTTTTCGCCAAGTGATCAAGGATGGTCCTCGATGGCCCTCGCCGAGGGAAAAATGCACACGGGAAGGGAGCCTCTGCAGAAGCCCAGGAGACCCGTGGGGCCGACGTTGCTGTGCCACCCATGGGGCAGGGCCCGCACGCGGCTCCCGCGGACCTGGTCAAAACTGTCGACCGTCGTCTCCCTGGCCATCGCTCGGACGTCCATTCCCTGTGCTTTTTTCGATTTCGCGCGTGGTTTTTCGCCCAATGATCAAGGATGCTCCTCGATGGTCCTCGCCGAAGGAAAAATGCACACGTCCGAGCGATGCCAGGCTCCTTGCTGACGAGAAAACCATGATCGACTGCAAGGAACGGAAATCTGGGCGAATCCTCAAATGACGATGATGACGATGATGACGACGACGATGATGACGATGACGATGACGACGATGATGGTGATGATGATGACGATGATGATGATGACGGGAGGAGGGAGGAGGGGGGAGGAGGAGGAGAGGAGAGGAGGACGCGGGGCACCGTCTCTTCAAAACGAGGACCCAACACCACAGGATGGTTGGGAACTACCCCAAGTTGTCACATTGTCCGCCTGGCCGGGTCGGCGAACCAGCTCCCCCCCGCGCCGGAATTCCTCCTGCCTGGACGGCCAGAGTGCCTGCAGCTCCTCCGTCGGGCAGGCCACCGCTCCTGGGCAAAAAAGCGTCTCGAGGAGCGCCGTCGTCGCCGTCCCAGCGGAGTGGTGCCTGAGCTCCCCCCCGCGCGGGAATTCCTCTTGTCTGGACGGCCAGAGTGCATGCAGCTCTTTTGTTGGGCAGGCCACCGCTCCTGGGCAGAAGCGTCTCGATGAGCGCCGTCGTCGCCGTCCCAGCGGAGTGGTTGAAGGGGCCCCAGGACACACAAATAAATACACACAAATATAAATATTCCCCATATTTCCCCCTATTTTCTGGTGTTTTGTCTTCCCCCCCACTTCCCATATTTTCCCACATTTTCTTGGGAATCGGCGATTAATTGTGTCTGTGTGTTTCTTTCCTTCCTGAGTGGTGCCTGAGCCTGACCCCGCCGCCGTTCATCACACGTGTGCTGTCGCTGATGGCTGGCGGCGTTCTACCTGTGGCAAGTCTGCCCGCCCGGAGAAGCAGCGCAGGATCGTCGCGCGCCGCCCGCGTCCTGCGAAGAGAGCCGCCCCTGCCAGCTCGGCCCACTCTGGCCAACCCAGTTGCCACCAGATGCGGGCAGTGTCTTTATCCACATCCAGTGCGTCTTGGAGTTTCGGACACTCTTCCCAAGAAACATGAGGCGCACTGGATATGGATGATAATCTGCCTCCGAAAGGCTCAATGTTTATCCATATCCAGTGCGCCTCGGCCTTGCGGCGCCCCTTCCAAGAAAGTCCAAGACGCCTTCGGGTCCAGGGTAACTCGGGTTTGGACTCCCGAAAAAGGAACCCGAGTCAGCCCCGACCCGAGTTACCCCGGATGATGTGGGGCTCTGGACGCCCGAATCATCCGGGGTGACTCGGGTCCGGGGTAAGTCGGGTTTGGATTCCCGAAAAAACGAACCCGAGCTAACCGGGACCCGAGTTGCCCCTGATGAGTCGGGGCTCTGACAGACCGCCAGCCGATCTTCCCGGACGAAGCGGCGCCCTCTGGCCCTGCCGCCCCCGTCCGCTGGGGGGGATGGGAAGGCCGCCGCCCGACGTCGCCGGGCCCCGGGAGGGAGAGCACGCGGAGGTCGGGCGAGACCGCGCCCGCCGCCCGTCGTCCTCGTCGTCGTCGTCGTCGTCGTCGTCGTCGTCGTCGTCGTCGCCGTCGTCGCAGGCGTTGGCGTCGGCAGGTCCAAAGAAAAAGAGGAACAACGAAAAACAACGTCGTAATTAAGCCGGCCCCCTTCCCTGTGTCCCTTCCCTGCCGGGGTGGGTGGGGAGGGGGGGAAAGGTCCCAGCACCTGGCCATCGCTCGGACGTCCACTTCCCGTGCTTTTTGTCGGTCTCGTGCGGGGCTTTTTCGGCGAATGATAAAAAGGATGCTCCTCGATGGCCCTCGCCGAGGAACAAAAAAAACAAAAAAAACGCACGCGTCCGAGCGATGCCGACGTGCCGACGCGCCGAGCGCGAGCCGAGACCGGGGGCCGCCGCGAGCACGCCCGCGGCCACCCCGAAACCCGCGCGCTCGGAGCTGGGCGTTGGCCCGAGGCCGCCGCGCCGTCGGGAGGCCAGAGGAGCGTCGGTGTTCTAGAGGCCCTGGGACGCGCAGGGACGTACTGGTCGTAGGACGAGGAGGAGGAGGAGGAGGAGGAGGAGGAGGAGGAGGAGGAGGAGGAGGAGGAGGAGGAGGAGGAGGAGGGGGGGAGCGTCGGTGTTATAGAGGCCATGGGACGCACAGGGACACACTGGCGCTACATCCTCCTTGGAGGCCTGCGCCCGACCCGAACATGTACAGTGCAACCATGCCTATACGATCGCCCTTCGGGTGATGAGGAGGTTGTGGGGGGGGGAGAGGGGGGGGAACCAACATCTGACTCAATCGATGTCACCATCGATCTCACTCGACGGGACACCACGGGACACCACGGGACACTTGTCGATCTCACTATCGACCCCACTATCGATCTCACTCAACGGGACACCACGGGACACCACGGGCCACCACGGGCCACCACGGGACACCACGGGACACCGCGGGACACCACATCGATCTCACTATTGATCTCACTATCGATCTCACTCAACAGGACACCATAGGACACCACGGGACACCACATCGATCTCACTATCGATCTCACTATCGATCTCACTCAACGGGACATCACGGGACACCACAGGACACCTCGGGGCACCGCGGGATACCGCAAGCCACCGCCGGACATCGCGGGACGGACGGATGGACGGGCGGGCACGGAATAATCATTTGTCTTGACTTCGCCCTAGCAACGGCGGACACCACGGGACACCACGGGACACCGCGGGACACCGCGGGACACCGAGGGCCACCGCCGGACGGGCGGGCTGGGGAGAAGCGCTTGTCTTGACCTCGCCCCAGCAACGGCGGGCTCATTCCTCTCGCGCGCCCGCGCAGCTCCGCCTCGCCCGCGCGCGCGACGCGCGCGCGAAGCGAGACGACTTCCTGGGTGGGGGCCTCCGTTCCGCTGCGATCTCCCCCCCCCCCTCGGGCCCAAGGGCGTCGACCGCTTGCCAATGTCGGGGAGGGGAGGGAGGGAGGGGAGGGGAGGAGGAGGGAGGGAGGGGAGAGGAGGGAGGAGGGAGGGAGGAGGGAGGGGGAGGAGGGAGGGGTAGGAGGAGGAGGAGCCCACTCTCGCGGCTTTCGGTGACATGGTGCCGCCCGCGGGGCCGACGCGGCTGGTGCAGAGCGGCTTCAGCACAAAGCCGTGCACCCTCAGCGAGCTCGGGCGTCCTGGGGCGCAGCGCGGCGCCTGCCTGGAGCCAGCGGCGCCGACGTGCGTCGCCCCAGGGCGCCCCCCGATGCTGCCGGCGGACCTCCTCCTCCTCCTCCTCCCCTCCTCCTCCTCCTCCTCCTCCTCCTCCTCCCCTCCTCCTCCTCCTCCTCCTCCCCCCCTCCTCTCCTCCTCCTCCTCCTCCTCCCCCTCCTCCTCCTCCCCCTCCCCCTCCTCCCCTCCTCCCCCTCCTCCTCCTCCTCCTCCCCCTCCTCCTCCTCCTCCTCCCCCGTGGGGGCCTGGCTCCCCGCGCGGCGGAAGCAGGAAGGACCCCGCCACGGAGAGCGTAACCGTGAGGCTTTCTCGGGGCGCGCGTCGCCCCCCGGGGGGGGGGGGGGGGCGACGCGCAGATCGTCGGGGCGCTGACCTAAGGAACCCCAAATAAGGAACGAGGCCACAACCGAGAACTGAAAAATCGAGCCCTCCGCCCCAGAAGGCGCCCAGGAGGCCCCAAAAAGGCCCCAAGAGGCCCCCAAGAGGCCCCCAAGACGCCCCAAGAGGCGCCCAAGAGGCCCAAAAGAGGCCCCCAGAGGCCCCAAAACGGCCCCCAAGAGGCCCCAAAACTCGGCTAGCCCACAACGGTGCGACAATATGGGCCGGCGGAATGAGCGAAGCGATTAAATGAGGAACGAGGCCCCTCCTTTCCATAAGTTAACCTTCGATTCCCTGTCGAAGACCTAAGGAAAGCCTGAGGCAAGCTGCGAAACACTCCAGGAGCGCGGAGCCCCTCCCCAACGGAGAGGGTTCCTTCTTCAGGGCCCCGACTGTAAGACTTTCTCCGGTGCGCGCGTCGCCCCCAGGGGGGGGGGGGGCCGACGCACATGCGGCATTCGACAGCATCGGCCTGTCGGGGTGAAAGCCGAGGTCACGCCGAGGGGGCTCGGTGCGGAGCGGCCTCCAGCGCGCACCGTCGGGGCGCTGGCCCAAGGAGCTCCGTGATGAACGAGGCCCCTTTTCTCCCTTACGTAAGGTGAGCTTCGCTTGCCCCTTGGAACACCTCAAGAAAACCGAGGGCAGACTGCAGAACAGCCAGGGAACCTCGAGCCCCTCCCCAACGAGAAGGGCTCCTTCTTCAGGGTAGACTGCAGCACAAATCAGGGAACACCGAGCCCCTCCCCAACGAGAAGGGCTCCCTCTTCAGGGCCCCGACTGTGAGGCAAGAGCCTCCGCCACCTCCCGCCCCCGCGAGAGGCCGGGCGCGCCGGGCCACGGCTGGGGGCTCGCCATCGCTCGGACGTCCACTCCTCGTGTATGTTTCGATGTCGTGCGTGTTTTTTTTTTTCGCCAAATGATCCAGGATGGTCCTCGATGGCCGTCGCCGAGAAAAACACGCACACGTACGAGCGATGCCAGCTGGGGGCTCGACGGCTCTCTGGCGCCGCCCGCCCCCGGTGGGGGGGCCAGGAGCTCTCCGTGGCCCTCTGCTCGCGGCGCGGTGGGACCTCGGCCGACAGGGCCTCCTCCCTGCGTGGCGAGTGCCCCCCGCCTCCACGCTCGAAGCGTGGCGTGGGCCCTCGCAGACTCCTCGCTGCGGCATCCTGAGGCACCTTGCCGACGTGCACCGGTCTCGGAGGCACCCGCTGTGACGCGCCCACCCGGCCGTCTCTGACCTTCGAGGCCGCTCTCTTGGCTTCGTCTCGATGAAGCGGCGATTTTAATCTACACTTTCCATATCGCTCGCCACGGTTTCACTCTCCCCAGACCCCCGACGTCGTGATTTTTTCACAACGTCGACCCCCAAAGGTCTGGACCCTTTCCCCGGGACCGGTTCTTCGTCCCGAGTCGTTTTTTGACGGTCCCGAGGCCCGGTGAGGGCCCCCGGAGGCCGAAAATAGCGAAAAACCTCCCGTCGTGATTTTTTCACGACGCGA